TCACTTGAAAGTTAATATACCTTCACAGTGCAGTTTGCAATATTCTTATAGTCTCATAATGCTTTTGGTATAGTTTTAATGCTTGAAATTGTTTAATTCTTGTCATTTACAGCATCACTGCAGACAATGTGGGAATATCTTCTGTGCTGAATGTTCAGCCAAAAATGCCTTAACTCCTTCTTCCAAGAAGCCTGTTCGTGTCTGTGATGCATGTTTCAATGACTTGCAGGGATAGTGGGTTATCACAACTTCAGAGTAATATTACACTAACATTAGATTTTTAATAAATGCACTTAATAGAGGTCTTGGACTACTATTTGATTTGGACAGTGGTTGCAATACTAGACCAAATTAGAATTGGTATATTTTGGAATGTTATCAATATCAAGTAAAACTCTTCTATTTTTGTGAGACTTGGGCTCATCTTTCATTACTTTTTTCCATTTAACCCCGGAACAGCTTTCATGCCAAGTTTAGAATTAGCCAATGAAATGTAAATAAACTTTGGATGGAAAATAGCAATGTATTTTTTTAAATATAATTTCATTGTTCACAAATCACATGAATACACTTCCATAGCTTCTATTTTCTTCCAAATTTAGTGTACAGAAATGTACATGGATGATGTTATCACATCATATATGTTGCACAATAACACATTGATTATATTAAATATTCTCTTTGTGAAGTCATGCACAGAACTATAAAACTTTCTTTTTTTCTTATATATAGGTCCATAGCTGAGTTGCATTATTATGTTATAAATTTACTACTCAAGTGTTCTAAGTACAGTTTATGTTGAAATATGTATTAACCATGAATTCAAACATGGTTTTTGTTTTAACGATACTGATTAAATTCTCTTGGGTGGATTTTATGAAAACCTCTGTAAAGTCATTTTGCGTGCTTTATGGTTATTCTGGGGTTGTATTTTAAAGATTAGGGTTAATTTTTCTTTTTGTCTTTTTCTATCTCGTGTTTAAACTCCCACGTAGTCTCCATTAAGAATCCTACACAGCTTCCCACCCTGACCTCCAGTTGGAAGATGAAACATAATTGTATACTGTTCCTATTCTCAGATTCTTCTAAACGGGAGTCTTCTGAGGCTAGCCTTCATGTTCACCCTCAGTTTGTCTTTCCAGCATCTTTAGGAATCGGTCTGCTTTTTAAATGGACTTTCTTTTCTCCTTTATTTGGTTTAACCTTTCTGAGCATAGCTCAGCTTTCCTTCATTGCAATTGTTTTATAATTTTGCATCTTAAAGCTAGTAACTGATATTGCTATAGTCTCATCTGTGAAAACAAAATACAAAATGGAAAGGAGATATTGAATATTCTACTTTATATTTTCTTCTTACCAAATACGGAAGAATTTTTAAAAGTTGTGAACTTGGCTTAAATTTAAAATGGTTCTCAATTTGGGGTTCCATATCAACAGGTAAATCTCTTTACTTTGCAAAAATAATGTTGTGAAATTACCTTAAAGTAACAGCTGGAGAATAAAGTATTACTGAAAACGTATTTAGGGATCCCAAAGTTACAGTCAGAACTGAAGCAGAATGGCTAATTAAGGATAATTAAAAATTAGCTTATTTGTATGCTGAACAATGAAACTGAACTTCAATTATGGTTCTAATAATTTGGAAAATTGGAAAACATCTGAAGAGAGAAGTCATTAATATTGGTTTTATTGCTCTTTCTAGAGAGGAAATGGACAGTTATGCATTTGTTCAGCACAGTCATTTGGTGATAGTAGCAGGAAGGATAGGAGTTAATATTTCATTTACAATAAAGAGTTTATAATATATACTTGCTTTCAAATATCATGCTGAAATGAAATTATTATGTTTCTGCTATACTTGCAACATATAAACTAAGAGAGATTGCCACATATTCATTTAATTATTAAAAAAACCCATTTAAGTAAACCCTGTTGTCAGTAGCTGTTAAGGACCCTGATTGAGTCCCTAGACTTGATAAACATATGTCGTTGAACATATTTAATGAAGAAATACAATGGCTCTTTATTAAAAATAATAGTTGGATAATATAAAGTGAACTAAAATTATGCATTTTCATATACTTATAAATCCTTTCAAATAGTCTTAATTCTATACTTTTACATATAGGTAATGTAATAAATGTGTTGGAAAAATAGATATTCACAGCACCACTGTTTATTATTTTTTTTAAGATGATAAAACTTCATGAGAATTCTTCTGGATTAGAATATTTGTTCACTTCATCTCCTAATTGGGTGCACTGAAGCCCTTTTCCATGTCTTGTTTCCCTACTCATATACTCACAAAAAACCTATGGGGAGAATAAGTAAAACCATATATGTTTGAGTGATTTTCTAAGTTTTATCTAGCTAATTTCATTTCATAGATCCCGAATAATTTACCCTAGGCTACTATAGTCGTAATATTAGAAATGAAACCTAATATTTTTGCTGTTAAACTCTCACCAGTGTACGGTGTTTTGGACACAAAAATTAAAGGGTTTTCTTTTTCTTTTAATTAAAAAGTCATCATTTGAGTCCTTATTGGCTCTACATTTTAGATGTCTGTTGGTATTATTTGTCAGTGAGTTAGAGCGGGCACAGAGAGCATCTCCCAGCTCTTGGCTCTAAAGCAAAGCATATTGGCATCACGAGATAGTAAATTCCAAACCCCAGCACAGAAATGTGAGTTAAAATCAAGTCTTGCTGGGTTAGTGTACAGTAAACTTTACCCACGGAATTTTTTAATAGAAAGAAGGCAAAGCTGCTGGTATAGGATTTTTTATTTTGAAGAAAAAGAGGGAAACAAACACAAAACCTCAATGCAGTGTACAAATAACATTTTGTTCAACTACCTCTTAATGTGGAATTAGCTAGTTTAATAGTTTCTTCACAGTAATGTTAAATGGTAACTGCCAAATTTGTTAGTTTCTCATCTCTTAAAAAGGCTTTATGATTATTTTATAGTTTTGAGAACTTTAAAACCAGTGTTTTTTTTTAAAATTTGCAGTTGCATAAAAATGTTTAGCTTTTAAGTGGAGAGCAAATTATGATCATATATTTTGATATTCATGACCTATTTGATTAGCAGTTTTTTTTTTAAATGCACTTTGGCTATAAAACCATGGATGATTTGACCCATAAGATTTAAATGTGCCATTAATTTAGCATTCCTAGACATGAGCTTGATGAATGGTATTCTGTAGTTAAAATGTGCCACACATCATTGTGTCTTAATTGCCCTTTGCCTGAATTTTAATGATCAATTTGTTATTGTTGCAGATGTGAATATTGTGCATAAACTTACTAAATTTATGTAAAATTGTATAAAATAGAATTCAAAATAGTTAAATTCTTTGTGTAGAAGTACTGAATTTGTTGTAACATGATGCAGTTAATGTATATGACATTCTGTGCTTCCTTGAACTGGATCATATATTCATAGCTTCTGTAGATAGTTTTGCATGAAGATTTTCTTGTTTAGTTGTTGGATTCATTATTTGTATTGTGTTTACTATGTGTGATTATGTAGTTGTGCCTTATTTTGTGAGAGAGTTTGGCTCAGTGAATACTGTAATTTCTAAACTCAGTGATTGGAAGGTTATTGATTATAAATGTATCTGATAAATTACATGACAGCATTTAAATCTGTATAAAGAACAATGGAAGGATCCTTATCGAATTGTTGCTTTTGTTTTTTTAATATGTTAAAGATGATATTAAAAAACCATTTCTTTCTAGTAGATATATTCTGTGACTATAAATTATTTTGTTTATTTAAAAAAGAAAACAAGTATTAACCGTTTTGCATTAATTTATTTGTAGAAGGTTAGAACTTTGCACTTGGATATGGACAGTGGGTATGCTTTAATGTTCAACTTAGAAGAGTAGTTAAGTTCATAATTTCAGGAGAAGTTACTAATGCCATTTTGCTTGAGACATTCCCTTTTCACTCCATTCATTATTATGGAGAATTAACAGAACTAAAAAAAATATATTAAACAATATAAGTTAATCCTTTCTTTCATTGTATATCCAAGTTTTATACCCAGGTGACCATTTAAAGATATTTTTCTGAAGGTTCAATGTACCTTTGGTTTTTACTGTTTTTTCCTAGGAACCAAGTTCCAGAAGTGCTTTTTCATTTTACTCTAATGTGCTTCCCTCCAAAGAGTTTAATGTGTACATCCTCAAGCACTTACCATATTAGATATTAGATGTGTTCTTTTGTAAGCTTTGTAGAATTGCAGTTTAAATATATAGCATATTCTTTTTAAGGATTTTATTTTATTGTGGTAAGAACACTTATGACATCTCCCCTTTGACAACATTTTAAATGTTCAGTACAGCAGATCTCTAGAGTTTACTCATCTTGCTTAACTGAAACTTTATGCCAATTGATTACAACTCCTCATTTCCCCCTCTCCCCAGCCCCTGGCAACCACCATTCCACTCTTTGATTGTATGAATTTGACTATTTTAGATAGCTCATATAAGTGCAATGATGCAATATTAGTCTTTCTGTGACTGGCATATTTCCCTTAGCATAATGTCCTCAAGGTTCATCCATGTTGTTGCATATTGCAGAATTTCCTTCTTTTTTTTAAGGCTGAATAGTATTCTGTTGTATGTAGATATCACATTTTCTTTATCCAGTCATCTGTTGGTGGACATTAAGATTTTTCCCACGTCTTGGCTATTGTGAATAGTGCTGCAGTGACTATAGGAGTGCTAATATTTCTTTGTATTTAGAATATTCTTATACTGTTTCACATCCTTGATGTTAATTTAGTCAATATTTCTCTCCTGTTAATGAGGTTTAAGGGAGACACTAGTTTTTTATACATATAAATATATGATTACTTTATACTTATAAATATGGCTACCGGACTCATGAGACTAAAGGTACCTTGAGAGATTGCTAGTCCTAGTCCACTGCCCTCCTCTTAGGTCAGTTTATATCTAAAAATCCCTGCAGAATGATTATTTTTTTTTTTTCCTCAAAAAATATATTTTTTGGCCAGAAATTTCTTCCTAAATCTTCTGTTGCATAAATCGGTGTTGTCTTCTCCTGGACATAATTGCTTTCATTCCCCTCCAGATCCCATCTCTAGGAATGAACTTGAAGTCTATTCTCCCCTTCTTTGCCTTTTTTCTTTTTCTCATTTATTCTTAGACATTAACAATAGTTAGTGCTCTCCAGATTTTCCTTTTATTTTCACTCACTCTTAAAAATGTCTGACATTATTATACAGAGACTTGACCCTCCATTCTAAAAGTGCCTGGCCCTTGCACAAGAGCGTATATGCTGCACTTGTCTGTCCTGCCTGGCTTGTATGGTGAAATCTGCATTTTCCTCAAAGAATTAACTGTGCACATGACCTCTGCAAGCATCGTCCTCTCTATCCCGTTCTCCAACTTAAGGAAATCAGTTAAGGTATTCTTGTCTTACAGCCCAAGTTGATAAATTTACTACTTCCATTTTGGATATTGCAAGAGGTACTGTGCCTGAAATTAAAATTTGTGGATTTCCATTTGGGAAAATATAATCTGACCATAAGAACTAGTTCCTTGAATGCAGTTACTAGTATATTCCACCGTGATAATATCATAATTCAAGCTGCCTGTCTTGAAAAATTCTAATGAAGTTTCAAGTCCTGCCAAATAAAATTAAGTGACTGTACTGCGCTAAAACACACACACACATCCCCCACTTAAAACCAGAAAGTAGTTTTATACAAACTCATTCTTCAAAAAATGAGACTTTAAGATATCTTGCTATTTCTATGAAAATCTCCCCGGTAAAAGTGTAGTTGGTGAAACTGGAACAGATATTTGCTTTTTCTTTCTTAAAATAATGGAATTTAGTCTTTGGGATTTTCTACTTCCAAGTTAGAGTATTATACAGTATACCTGAGGTAAGTAAACTGTTGGAGAATAGGAATTTAAAAACTGCTCTTAAACGGTAGACCTTATTTATTGCTTAATATATTAAAACTGCAATCAAACTTTGTATCGAAAGAATTATCACTGTGTGTGAGGTAGAACTATAAAGCAGTAAGAATGACTTATAAGCCATGTAGGAAAATTGGTTTCATTATACATATACACAAAGTAAGATGTTAGAATTCACATTGGACCCAAAGCGGGACATTGTTTTACTCCTGACATTCCATTTATATGATCATTGACCCTTTACAAATTATAATAGCACCATACTTCACCCTTCACTCACACCTCTTGCAAGCCCAAATGAAGCATTCTAAGTCTGGATATCAGTATATGCTTGCCAAGAAATTCCTCAGAGTTCAAATTTATTGTAGTCATTATTCCTCTATACTGAGGATTTTCCTAGCTCAAATTCTCAAATTTTGGAACTCCTTTAAAATGAACATTTCCTTCTAGCTCATCACTAGATAAGTGTTACAAAAGTTTGAATGAAAGAATACCTTAATTCCTAATGTCTAAAAAGGTGTGCCACTTATTTTAGGTCCCTAAATTTCAGAGGATTCTGCAGGCAATGTGAATGAAGATATTTTCTTGGTTTCCTGACTCTTGGTGAAGCAAGAGATTGCTGCTGTTATTTGTGCCATCCATATTTTCTGTTAAAAGAAAGATATATAGGGGGAGAGAGAGAGAGAGAATGTTAAACTGACAATTTCTCACATATTTGGGTTAATATTTCCCTTTGTATTTATTGACTGGCTGTTTAAAACTGAAAACTAATGAAACATTTGCATGTTTCCCATTTTCTATCTTACATCTATTTCATAAGTATCTCTAATCATATACAAAAATGCAAATGAATTAAATGAGCATGGTATGCAAGTTGGATAAACAGCCACGAGTAATCAAAGCATCAAATAATCAATGATGACTAATTAAGAAAATGAGCACCGAGATTATATATAAATAGTTTGAAAGCTGAATTTCTTGAATTTCCATTTTGTGTGGAAGTAGAAGTTCTTAACCAGTGGCATAATTTGAAAAACAGACTGAGGAAGGTGACCCAGCAAATTGAGTCCTTAGGAATAATGCAATATTGCATTTATTGTCTGGACACCTTGTAGCCATGATGAAAGCCTACCAGAGGAAAGACAAAAATGGAAACTTCTGAGATAGAGAAACCAGAGTCAGACAAGCAGCTGCTCTTCAACTCCATAGCTGCAAAAACAGCTATGTATTTTCAAAACTTGAAGAGCAGACTTGACATGGTTCATTATTGCACTATTAACTCAGTTAAGCTGACGTCACATTATTTGTATACTGGGACTTTGGGGTTAATTGGAGCATCTGAAAAGTCAATCACGCAATGCAAAGCAGTTCTTCCCCATTTCCTGCAGAAACTGCAGAACTCAGAGGCAGCTCTAGAACTCCTGCCACGGGAGAAGGGGAGGTTGTGTCAACCCTGCGAGTGTGAGGAAACTGTCTCCTCCGAGCTTTCTGAGCATGATGTGGACTCGCTCTGCATATCCCTCCCCTCCTCCCAGCTTCTGCCCGTCCCAGAGCCCTGGGGGAAATACGGAACTTCCCATTCACTGTTACTTAAGAGGCTTGGGATGAGGTTTGTCCTCGTGTCAAGACTGAAGAAGCAAAACCTACAAAATTGAAATACATACTTTGATGTTTTCCGTTTGGGCTTGTAATAAGAATGCTGCTATACACTGTCGATATCTGTTTTCATGTTGTATAAGGAAAGCATTTCTCAGCCCAAAGACTAGAAAAAGATTACAAAGACAAAAAGCCAAATCATTTAATGTGGCATCCAACAGTTCCGCACTACAAGAACCTGGAGTTTTTGTTTGTTTTTTAACAAAGGTGGGAGTTTTATGTAGATTACAAAAAAATAATAATAATAAAAATCTGATTCCAAGACCAAGACTTCACTACTATGTCCAAATGGAGCCTACTTAAGTATGAAAACCCTTTATTCCTTAGCTATGACTTCTGGAGCTTGAGGAAATGTAATAACAGCTTAAGTAATGGAAAATGTGCTTCTCGGTTAGTAGACATTTGGTCCTGTCCGAAACGTCCATAAGATGTATTTGGTCCATGCCAAAATGTTCATCAGACATTTTGTCCATGCCAAAAGGTCCTTGATATCTGTCACCTTTGGTCATGTCCAAAACATCCATGGAGATATTTGGTCTATGCCAAAAGGTCCTTGACATTTGGTTCTGTCTAGAACATTCATCAGACATTTGGTCCAAGCCAAGAGATCTTTGATATTTGGTCCTGTCCAAAACATCCATGGACACATTGGGTCCATGCAAAGAGGTCCTTGATATTTGGTCCTGTCCAAAGCCATTTGGCCTGGAACAAATATGCTCATGGACATTTTGGACAGGACCAAATGTCAAGGACCTTTTGGCATAGACCAAATATCTAATGGACCAAATGTCTTACAGACGTCTTGGACAGAACCAAATGTCCTGTGAGGGGTCTCCTCCGTAAGGAATAAACTTAGCATATTAGGTGGATTTGGTATATGTAAAATATAGATAATAAAAATACGGAAAGAATGTAATTCTTACTTTTTTGACCCTCACCACTCCTTTTCAAAATATTTATTTTTGTATTTAAAGGGAAGTCACATCAAAACAAGAGTTATAAACAAATTAAGATGAGGCAAAAATACAAAACCACCTGAATGCTTCACAACAGGTCAAGAAAAGCCAAAAAATTGACTCAAGTAAAATCCTACATCCACCAAATTATGTGAAACATAAAACAAAAAGAAACGTTGGCATGGTTTGTGTGTTTGCAAAACAAACAATCTGTTCTGTCATTTCCTAGCTGGTCTCTGAAATCACAGGAGATACTGGGAGAGCAGATTCCTCTTTATATAGCAGGAGCTCTTAAAATGAAAGCTGCTTCCTTGAGTTATTAATACAACTCAGGGAATAAAATTCAGCAGCCCATATATTCTTTCCACAGTCGATTTATGTTTAGGAACAAATAAAAAAACCAAATCAGGGTTGTCTCCTGGTCACATCAGGTACTTCAGAGAGAAGGAGGAGAGCGCTGTCTTTTCTTGGCTGATCATTAAGCTGATGCTTGTCCACTGTTGTGATTTCTATTTGCTGAAGTTTGTGGGTTTAATTCAGACTCATCGAGGCAGGTTGGGCCTCATTTCAGAATCAAAGCGAACGCGAGACATTTATTTTCTTGACTGCAAGAACTGTTCCAGTATCACACATTAGAACAGTCTAAACCTCATATTTCCTAAATTCTATCACAACAAAGTCTAGTGAGGTCATGAAATTCTGTCCAGCTTCCCTAGGGTGAAAGAACTTAAACCTGTTAAAATGACTTTCTGGAAAAAAGATTTGGCTGTGTTTGTTTTACTCCTCGATTTTTCTCCTTCTAAATTCCCTGTAGCAAGTGAGGCTTTAAATAAAGACCAGGTGGTTGTTCTTTGGCTGGATTTTGGAATCCACTCTCCTCAAAAATTGTGAATGTAGTTCTCAGTATTTAAGGTATCCTTCATCTGTTTGGTTTGTAATGTGGGTACAAGGGGCTTTATAAGCAGAAGGACCTGGTATGGCTAGGCTTGTAAAATAAAATAAGGAAATAATAAATGGGCAGGAATAGCTATTTTTTCCACCTAATATAATAATTAAGCATAATTACTGTGTGCTGCGCACTGTGCTATGTTTTTTTCCTTTGTGTGTCATTTAAATCACACAGCAACTGTATAAGATAGGTCAGCTAATTCCTACTTACAAATGCAGAAACAGATTAAATTTTCCAAGGTCACACAGCTTGTAAATGATAGACCCAGGATTTGAAACTAGGTCTCTGTCACTGCAAAGGGCAATCTCTTTTTTCTTTGCCCCTTACACTTTCCCACTCTGCAGCTATTCTGTCTCATGCACTGTATCTGAATAGTCAAAATAACAGGCAAGAGGAATGAGAAAAATAGAAAAATAAAACAGAAACAAGAGATGGTAGTGACAAATCAGAAAATAAAAAATGGTGAAGTATAGTTTTTAAAAAGGTATTGTTTTTATTTAAAAAAAATAAAAGAAATAGAGAAGAAACAACACGCATCTCCCAAAGTAATCCAGTGATCTCAGATTGCCCTGAAGTCCAGTTCTTAAAGCTGGCAGCGCTGGGAGAGACAGCCCTCAGCCGAAGCTGCTTCCAGTCTTCCCCATGGGGCTCTGACAGCTTCCTCCCCTCAAGTCCGTTTATCGTGCCAGAATCTTCTAACTATGGCCACTGTAGTGAGAGAATACATTCCTGGCCTAGGATTCCCTCTGCTGTGACATTTTTCCCCATGAAAAAGTAAGCTAAACAAACAGACGAAAGGAAGTGATTTCTGTGTCTCACATGCTGAGTCTCTGCCTGTCTACACTGCTTTACCATCCTGAGCAGAGAGGAGGCTCACACCCGGTGGTGTTGGGGGTGGGGGGTGCACTCACAGGCAAAGGTTTTGCTCCCCTGAGATGCCCCTTTTTAGGGTTGCTCTGGAAACGCTCTCTGGTTTATGCAGTCTTTGGCCTATATAGACCATGATTGGTCCCAGCTGAATCAGATGTAAGAGTCTTACCGCCTGCCCGGGTCACATTGCAGCGAGCCTTAGTGGAAGTAGAAAGAATAGATAAACGAGGCAGAGGCTCTGGCTCTGGAGCCTTCTGCTCTTGGGGAGAGCGTTTGCTTCCATTCACAAGTTAACATGTGTAAAACATTTAAACATACAACTTGGTTATTTAACATAACTGTGTCAGGGTTTGCTATGATCATTCGTTTGTGTATTCATTCACTCATTCACTGCTCTCTACAAGTTGGTCCTGTGCTAGTCATGGATGTTCTGGGCATGGCGGCTGGGGTGGGAATTGAGGGGAATGGATAGTGCTCCTCGCTTAGGACAGGAAGGCAGTCCCCTCCCGCCTGGCTTCAGCCGGTCTCCTCCGATCCTATACCCAAGGCAGAATGAGTGTCTGCTTCCTCCTGGACACTGCCGCCATCTACCCGGCACTCGAGACAGAAATGTCCTTCAGGTCCCTGGAGTCCCAGGGCTGTCATGACAGAGGATTTAGTGATCTTTCATTGTTCTGAGAGCTCCCCGAGAACAAAGGCTGTTTCTTGTTCATCTTTGGAACATCAGGACACCCACAGAGTGCCTAGTTCTCAAGAAACTCAGGAGATGCTTGAAAAATGAAAAAAATAATATATATTTCTGACCTATACGCATGATGTATATGTACATATATATTTATGTTTTTATTTATGGCTTAATTCTTTCTATAGAGCTCTAGTAATAAAACATCTTAGGCTTGCATGGCACGTCGTGGTGTACCAGTGCTTTAACAATAGTGACAGTATTAACAATAATTATATAATAGCAATATTAATAATAGCTACATTTATTGAGTGCTTTGCGGGCATTATTTCATTTACTTCTCATGACAACCTACTGAGGTAGGTATTATTATCCCTGTTTTATCAAAAGGAATCTATGGCTTGGAAACCTTAAGTGCCTTCCTGTGGTCACCTAGCTAGCAAGCGGCAGAGCTGGGTCATCTATGCATTGGAAACTAAGTCCAACACTTTCCAGAACTAGTTCATAGAGTGAGTGATGCGTAGCCACATAGGAACTCAAATTGTCTTTTATGAAGACAAATTGGAGTCATTTCCTCTTACCAAAAATGCCAATATAAAACTCTGTGATAGCAGACAGATATGCTGAGTGAAGAAAATAGACACATACCTGACACGTGGAGTGGATCGATACTTTTGACTACCAGTCTATCTAGTGGAATGGGCTGGTCGAGCACCGTGCACGAACCACCCTCTTTTATTACTGTTTGCAGCTCAGGAGTAAGTGAAGGACACATTAGACCAGCGTCTGAGCCTCCGAGTTTCTGAAATTAAAGAGAAAAATAATGTAATAAACAGGAAACAAGTATTGGTGCACATACCTAAAGTGCATCCTTAAGCAAATTGATTTTTGGAAACAGTTGCTTGAAATCCAGCTTACTACTCTTTCTGGATCTTGAAAAGCATTTCCCTAAAGTACATAGTGATTCAAAGCATAGTGTTTCTGATCCCCAAGTTTAATTACCTGAATCAACAATGGGTGCCATCTATACTTGGGAGACATTTTAATCACCGTCATGTCAATGAGAAGCTCTTCATTTCCAGTACCTCTTTAATGAGGGATCTCTATAGTACTGAGTGAGATGAATGAGAAAGGGGAGCCTCATTTTGACTGTCTCTGTCCATCATATCCAATACTAAACTCTAAATAGTTTCCGTGCTCTATAATTTGTAAATAATTGAAATTGTTTTGAATATATGATAAATTTTTTTAAAAGGGTGTAAAAGACTGATTTGCATGAGATATATTGTGCATTAAATAGGAAAGAGGAATTTAAAACAGATTCCTTGTTTTGGAATCAAGTTGTGAAGCATGAAACCAGAATATTACCTTATAATACAGTCACTGTGGGCTGCCATTAATTCATGTGCTCAGATTTGTGCCATTTAAAGTGAAGGTAGGCTGTGCTTAGCGGCAAGGTTTTTAAAGGGGATAGAGATGTTTCAAAGCTTGACTCATTCAGACATGCTAGTTTGGGTAGCTTAAAATAGGAGACCATCCTAGTTTCAAAACTGCACTCTTAATATTCTCCAACACCCATTCCCTCCCCAGCCACCCATCAACTGTTCATAGATTGATTAATGGATGTCTATTTCATTGCTTAAAGATCCTTAAATTATTTAGCCAACATGTCATCTAGAAGCTTAGGTTATTGAAAGATAGATCTACTCTCATGATCTTACATCTGCCTAAGTCTAGTCATTTGGTAAAGAAGTGAGCGGAATGAAGCAACATTAGATATCTCTGATGGCTTAAGACATATATGCAGTTCCTCCTCTCACTGCCAAGGACACGTTTCTGAGAGCCTTAGAATAGGCCCCCTTCCTGATAACTGCTGGCATAGCTGATTCAGGGAACAGACCGTGAAATGGGAGATTAGATAGAAAGCCTTTAGTGAAACTTGAGACCCATGGCTTAATGGCTAGACACAACAACAATAATTAATAACATTATAACAATAACAATAACCATAAACAATATGGGGGAAAATCCCTGTTCTTGGAAGAGATTTTGTGGCTCTAGCTCCCAGGTGACTTATTTTGTCTGCCATGCCAGCAATACGTTAGAATGAGTGGTGGTTATCACCTCGGCACATGGCAGCAGACAGTTTAGAGAGGCCCCCTGCCCCCGACAGCTGTTGTGGCGGTGGACAATTTGGACGAGGAAAGGGCTGATATGGACAAAAGTATTTTGGTCTCATTTTCTTAGGCAGGTCGGGCATAAAGTCCTCTGGCTTCTGGGACTTACCTCAAAAGTATACAGACTAAGTCATTCTAAAAATGCACACTTCCTTTGACATCCTTAAGAAATGTAACGTGCTTTTGTTACTATTTTTTAGTTCAAAGCTATACAACTAAAAAAAGCCAATATTTTGTAATGCCTCCCATTTTTAGAGGGTAGAATCCAATTTGACATATAAGAATCATTTATATTTTTAAAAACACAAGTTATTTAGAACTATTTCTCAGCTTATTAGGCAGATTTCTTTAGAAATAGCCACACTTTACCTTTTTGTTGCGCTTAGTTTTTGTAACTAAGAGGAAATCATCGAAGAGAAACAGATAAACATCTAGGAATCTTGTGCTTTCTGAGGAGAGAAAGAAGGTGAAATTGGGGCGGAAAATTGTAAACAAAGTTTTTGTTCGTTTGTTTAATCTAAGAAGCCCGTAGAAAACAAAACAGAGCAGGTAATCAGAGCACAGCCGGCTTGCAGCTCAGGACGCCCAGTCACGTGGCTCAGAAAACCGCATTCCTGTTGAACTGATTTCTCCCTAAAGCAGAAATCTGATGGGTGCCCACGCTTCCAACTTTAGAGACATTGTATTTGTGATGCATTTCATGTGTCTCTAAGATAACCCGGATGATATCTGTTATGGTTTCAACCTAACCTGGGACATGTCTATCAACAGCATTTGTGCCTCTTGTCTCATCTGGGTGGTCGTTGGCAGAGGTGTACCTTACCAGGAAAAACACATTCTGTCGTCGTTGTGGACTGAATTGTGCTCCCCGACCCCCCTGGCCCATTCATACATTGAAGCCCTAACCTGCCCGGCACCCACAGTGTGGCTGGATTCGGAATAAGGAAGTAAGTAAGATTAAATGAAGGCATAAGGGTGGAGGCCTGATCCCATAGGATTAGTGTCACCCTAAGGGGTTACACCAGAGAGCTCTTTCTCTCTCTGTCACGTGTGGACACTGAGAAGGAGGCCATCTGCCAGCCAAAAGAGAGCTCTCACAGGAAACCAAATAGGCCAGCAACTTGATCTGGGACCTCCAGCCTCCAGAACTGGGAGAAATGTCTGCTGTTTAAGCCACTCAGTAAATATTTTTTATTATTCCGTGTATTTTTATTTATATTATTCTAGAAGTTCTTTCTCATATACTTTAATCTCTGGAAATGAGATAACTAAGGTTAATATAATAGATAAAATATTTAGGATTCATTTCTATTCTCTCCCCTTTAAGTTTAGAGGAAAGATTCTATATTTACATAGAAGAGAAATTAGATATTTTATTCAATCTTGAATCATCCTTGAATATTTTTTAAGAATTGTATTCCATCACTACTAGAAACTTTCCTTTTTGCAAATCAGGCTGCAGCAAAGACTGCAGGTTGTCTCTCAAAAACCATTTACCCTTTCTTTTGTGGTAATGGAATTTCCAGGTGGTAGTGGGTACATATCCACTGTGAATAAATACTACATCTCCCAGCTTCCCTTGTAGCTAAATATGACCAGGTGACCACATTCTGACCAATGGAACATGAGCAGAAGCGTGCAAGTTCTGAGTCATATCCTTAGACAACAGGACAATGCTCTCCTGTCCCCCTGGCCCTTCCCACTGGCTGGAATATAGACACACTGGTGACTCATCTTGGGCCACACAAAAGAAAGCAGTACCCCAGGGATGGCAGAGCACAAGAACAGAAGGAACCTGGATCCCTAATCATTTTGTGGAGTAGAGCTGTCATATAGTTCAGGGTTTTACACGAGAGAGAAAGAAACTTCTGTCTTTCTAAGCAATTGTTATCTGTCTCTGTCTCCAATGGCTGAATCAATAACCTAACTAATACAGAGGACTAGGAATGGGACACTGGGGCAGCCCTAGACCTTCAAGAACTGTTAAACATTGTTTTCTTCACCCTCTGCCACTCACACGTGAATTAGGTTGATGATCATTGTCAAAATGAAATAGTTTTGTTTTCTCCCTCTAATTTCAAGCCTTAACAAACAGGTAGTGAGCATTTTCTGTGCCTAGACTTTATTCTAGGAGATGGTGATTATTTTAGCTACCGTTTATGGAGGCCCTTGTGTTCCTCCAAGCAGTCACCAAACACTGAGCGCCTGCTGTACATCGGTGATTAAGACAGAAGCTCTCCCCTCAGGGAGCTTTGATTCTAGTGAGAGCAGACACATATTAAGCACGTAAACAAGAGTTAAAATAAGATAAATTCAGGAATTGACAGTGTTTAAAAGCAGATGCAGTAATACGAAAGAGGATGACTAAGGAGGAGATTATAAGCATAAAGTCAGAGTGTTCATATTCATTATCCCAGGATTTTTAAGCTATTGCAGCCCAGTGAAAAAACTAACCAAATGATTTCATTAGACTTAACTAATGAACACCGTGAGTCTGAAATTCTGCGTAGCTAAGTGCTACACAATCAGAACTGAGACTTAGAAATGTTTGCAGTTCAGTCTCGACTGGTTGTTTGTTTTTCTCATGGAGTCTGGACTGTGGGGTTTTCGTTGCACTGTTAGAGAACGGAGCAGCATCACTGACTTATTTCAGTTCTGCAGCAGCTTGAACAATGTGTTCTTTAGGTGTTAGCTGTTGGACCAGCATATCTGTCTGCACCTTACTCGTTTTTCTATTTAGAAACACCAATGTGTGGGGAGCAATACATTTGTGAAGGGTGTGCTGGCATGAATTCCAAAGGGAAGTTGGTTATGCTCCAAAAGTTATGAAAACTTGTACCTTCTGGGAATAAGAAAATACACTTATTTGGTTACAATAGTACTGTTTTTAAAGCGGGAAGAAATTTTGGGACAATATTTTAGGTATCATCAGTCATTGTTATCATCATCATCATCATTATCACCATCAACAATATTTACAGAAGAGACTAAGGAAATTTACACAACTTTCCCAAAGCCCACAATTGGTGCTACATCCCTTGATTCTTGGTGCACTGCTTTTTCCATTCAAAATGGTGTCCTGTTTCTTCTAACGCTATTCCCAACCCCCACCACATGTCTGCCAACTCTGAGTCAAAGTCCCAGTGACTTTAAACTTGATTTGCTACTACTGTATGGTGCCTCCTCTCTGATAGAATTTGACTAATGGCATATGCCATCAAACTAGTGCCTGGTATTAGTGACATTTACATAGGTCATTCCCATTCTACCACATTTGACTCTACAAGAAACTTTTTCTGAAGAGTTGTGTCAATCTGCAGAGTCCTTCTTAGGCCAGTCTCTCTCCTATGCTTCCGTGACCAGCACCCCAATCCACGTGAAATGTGAATGTACAACTGATGTGGCTTTTCACTGAGAGTGGTTATGGTCATATTTATCCAGCTTCCATGTGGCTTCCACATGCCCACACCTGAACCCTAAAATTGGCTCCCTGAGCCCCTTCCTCCTCCACCCTCAGTGTTATCAACCAAGATTTCAGGCACATAGATGAACACTGGAAGGCATCGTCGACTCATTTCCTCTTCATCCATTTTATCAATCATAAAGTCCTCCTGTTTTTGCCTTTGAAATATCTCTCACGTTTATCCTTTTCTATTCATGTCCATTTCTGAGATTTTAGAATAGGCCAGTGCATCTCACAGTGTTGGGAAGTTGGTAGATAGAGGGAAGAGATAAATCAAAATCTCTAATAAATCTAGGTGGAGGCCAATTTGGGGGGAAAGGTGTATGTTTGAACACAGAGCTGTGTTTTGCTTTGTTACTTTCATTTGGTTTTGTCACAATAGGTAATGATTTTTGAAATTGTAAACAACATCAAAGAAAATTTAAAATTGTTGTCTTCAAATAGAATTGGGAGGTGGTTGGTCTACAGGTTAAGAATGGTTGAGAAACTCAGGCCCAAGCTCTTCTCACCTCACTCTGCTTCTCCGCGAAGCTTCCAGGCTGGTCTCCCGGCTTTGGTCTCCTCCTCTACACCATTTTGTGCATTGCTTCTGATAACCTTTCAGCACCCTTTTAAGCCTATCAAGTCCCTGCCCAAGAACTCAAAGACTTCTTGTTGCCAGCAATTTTCTGGTTGGGTCCCTCTGTTTGGCTTCCAAGGCACTTGCTGTGATTCTGGAAGCCTACTAGGCTGAGGCAGCCTGGCTTGAGTCTGGACCCTGCTTGTTTACCTGCCAGGTGACCTTGAGCATGATACAGAACCTCCTTGAGGCTCACATTCCTCACCTGTAAGATGGGATTAAATGTAACTTCTCTGCATAACTCGCTGGAAGGAGAAAATGCATAAAAAAGCCCTTTGATGTAAAACGCTGGGCATGTCTATCTTCTCTAGATGGCAGTTGCCAGGTGGGGGTTATATCCCAACCTGACATCTAATACTCTACCTAAAATACAGCAGATTCTCCACAGATGTGTATTGAATAAAGAATCATTGCCCGGCACTCCCCACCGGATCTCACACTACCATAAATAGGCCACCTCACAGCCCATCAGGGCTTCGTACACAGCAGGTGTCCAATCAGGATGTTGTGCAGAAATGAATAAATGAATGAATGCAAATCTTGTATCAGTCAGGAAGCTCTTTCTGATCATCATCATATTTATGGAGCACAGACTCTGCGCCAACCATTCTTTCAAGCGCTTGCACATCCATTACCTCATTTAATCTTCACAACAAAGGGGGGAAACTGCAGCATGGGGAGATTGCTGTGACTGGCCCAAGGTTACACAGGCAGAGGAGGCTGAGTCAGGAAGTGAGCCTGGCAGTCAGCCTACGGGGCTTGCCCTCCTAACCATGCTGTTAGAGGCTATTCTGTCAGGTGGCTTCTGCTTCGAGCCTTTTCTCCTGCTGTGCTCCTTATCTGGGATGCCCTGCCTCCTGTCCTTCCACTGACCTCCATCCTTTCTCTCCCCGCAAGCCCACCTCCCGGGCACTCCAGTTTCACAGATCCTCTTTTCTGAACTTATCCTGCAGGTCTGCTCATTTTGGCGGAGCTTCTCCATCAGAGGGAAAGGATTAAACAAAATAATTGTTTTATATCCTCCAACAGTACCTACCTACCACAATGTGTGTTACATAATAGGTTCTCAATAACACTGATAGGATAATTGCCCAGCTCACTGGAGGAGTAAAATGATGATAACAGCTGACATTGAGTGTTTACCATATTCCAGACCTTGAGCCAAGCTCTTCCTATGTGTTATTTCATTTTAACAACAATCTTTTTTTCATAGTTTTTTTTTTTTTTCTCCCCGAAGCCCCAGTACATAGTTGTGTATCCTAGTTGTAAGTCCTTCTAGTTCTTCTGTGAGGAATGCTGCCACAGCATGGCTTGACAGGTGATGTGCAGGTCTGCACCCAGGATCCGAACCTGCGAACCCCAGGCCACCAAAGCAGAGTGCACAAACTTAACCCCTACGCCACCACGCTGGCCCCATTGACAATAATCTTATGAGATAGATACACTTAGCCCATTTTATAGAGAGAAAACGGAGGGCACATAGCTAGCTACGTTGCAAAGTCGTTGATCAAGCTGGAGTCTGTGTGACTCCGCAGGATGCTCTCTCATTCACATTTTGCATCGCCTTGGCCACAGGCAAATACCGTTCCTCCCACCCTTCAATTAGCAACAGTTGGACAAGTTATCAGGTAGCAAAGATCTTAGGGTTTTGAAGGAAACAGTTATTTACCTGCAAGAGTTAATTTTCCTTCATAGAGAAGGTGTCTGTTGGTTGGTGACAAGATGTTTTCTGCCATGTGTTCTTTAAAAATGTGTCTCAGGCACTTGCAAAACAAAAGAGAAGATCAAAGAGATATTGTTAGTGATTGGAAGAGAACATGTTCAAGAAACTGGGGCAGTGAACGGGGTCTAGAAAGTTCATGACATTTGGAAATGCCAGTAGATGGACATGGGGATGGGAAAGAATGGCAAAACCTCTCAGAAGAGCCACCCCAAGAATTGCATGATGACATCAGCCTCCCACATACAATGCCACGTGGATAAAGGCTTCACTTCTTGCTCATAAAACTAGATTTAGTACTCAAATGGGCAGCTGGAGACTTTGTAAAGCTAGTGTATTTATTTCCACCTGAATGCCAGACTTCTGGAAAGGGACATAAGTCCTAACTGATCCTTTTTTTTTTTTTTTACCTCTGGAATGAAAAACCTTTTATCTCTATCCCAAAGTGGAGGCCACACTATAATCTCCTGGAGATGTCTACATTTTTGGAAATTGTCAAGCCACTTCACTTTTCCTTCAAGATCCCCTGGAAGACAAGACAGATCCAATGTATTTTTTAAATGCATGTGACATTACAGCATAGATTTTAACCAAGATCCACAGAAATAATGTAGAGACACTGACAGCCCCGGAGCTAAACTCTATCTTAGGTTTATTTAACATATTGCTTGCTGTTTAAATGTCTTAGAAAAACTCACTAATTTGCAGTCAGCCTCTTGAGAGAAAAATGAAGCTTAACTAATTTAATTCAGTAAGTTGGAAATGTGTTGTGTGTTTTTATTTCAATACTACTAATAAAACTCTTGGTAGCTTTCTCTTATGCTCTACACCACACAGCCTATAACTAGAGAAAGAAAAAAAATCATACAGACAAAGACAAACAAGTCTTTTTGTCCTAATCACAAAACATACATTCACTCATGATAAGGATGATTATTTCCTTTTGGTAAGAACTCATTTTCTCTTCTGAAGGTTTGTATTAATTTTCCAACATTTTCTAATTACCTTACTATGGAGGTTTTGAAATGATTTTTGGAAGCACGGAGGGCAAGTCATAGACCCAGAGAATCACAGGGTGGGTGGAATCCTTGAGAATCCATCATCTTTAAGCTCATAGACTTAGAGGAAGGCCACAGGGATCTCGTCTCTCAACAATACGGATCCATATTCTTTGGAGATTTCTCCAGAAGAGATGATATCTTCCTCACAAACTTATCAAAATGAGTATTAACCTTCAAAATTACTTTAAAAGTTTTTAAAAGTTTGTCTTTAATTGAATTTGTTCTTATTCACTTGATAAGCTGAATTCTAATTCCTTGAGTCATTTTAGAATTTGAATGAAAAAATGTAGAAAGAGAAAAATTTGAGTTATTCCCTTTTGATGCTTCCCAGGAAATCTTGGTTTATTGGCATATACCTGGACTTTTTATTTGAATTTAATTATACAGAGTTCCACAAATAAATTTAAGTCATCACAAGGCTTGCTTAGTTCCTATTCTCAAATTTCAGTTCTAAAGATTGGCCCTGGATTTCAGTGACTAATAAAATGATGAATGGTAATTGATCCTCCAGAAAGACTTCCCATGGTGTTGCCTCCCATTTGCTTTGTGTGTGAGTTCAGTACGGGTGTTAAAAACAAAATGCCTTCAATCATCTGGGAAGTGGAAATTTTCCTGCCTGAACTCACTTCTGAAAGCCTTCGAGACAGAGCATGTCCTGCGTAAACTTGGCCAGGGAGGGTTGGCCAGGATGTGACTGGAGCCCATTGTTTGGTGTGTGTTTGGTTTACAATGCAGTCAAACTCAAATCCGTGTTTCCGAAAGCCATGACCTCAAGTCAATGGAATTACCTTCTAGGATGGAAGCCTGCATGGTTCCCAGGAGCCGCAGGGCCCCCAACTCTTTGATTAAACTTACAGTGGAGCTCTGGGTCACTCATCTCAGGGACTTACGGATTGACTTTTCCACCTTTTCCTTGATGGAGTAGATCATGATTTTCTCAGTAGAGTCGGTAGTCCTTTTCCAGATATTCTTCAGCAACAGGGGGTATCGAGTCAGCCTGTGTAGTGGAGCCACTAGTAGCTCAGGCAGGTGAAGCCGTCTGCACTGTTCATTTTGCTCACACCACTGGGGAAGGCAAAAGCAGACATATCAGACTGTCACTTCTATCCAGGCATTAAGAAGCCTGGACACGAGGAACTTTTAGAGATTTTACTTAGTAATGACATGATGCACCTGTGAGCTTCCTAGGGAAATTAAAAGCCATGAACTAGACTTTGATTTTGAAAAATTCTGTATTAAACTGTCTTTAGCAAGCATCTATCTACCAGTGCCAAATTCAGGGTCTGAAATTGGCTTCTTAGATGTGGTTAAGAAGTATTATTGAATATTACTGACTACATTGTTACTTTGCAATTAAAGAAATGAAAGAGTCCTTCTTCAGATGTCTTGCCTTGTCAATAAAGGTGATGAAGGCGGCAGTCATCAGCATTACCTACAACACCACCACTCAACCCTCCTGAATGGGGAAATTTATCAGGATTTGGATGTACAGGAAAAGTTCGAAATTTGTTAAACTTCTTCAAGAATGCATGTTCCATCAGTGGCAGTGATAAGATGTATTAGTATACGTGTTCCAGCCTTGTCTGTCCTTCTCACATAAGAGCTTGGTTTTGCCCACTGGCTTCTCCCTTCTCCCTGGTCCTCAGGGGAGATTCCTGGTTTCACCAGCTCTGTTAATATCCTTGTTGTGATGCACAGTTAGGAGAATTGAGAATCCAAACTCGGGGGATAGAAGGGAAAAGGAAAGGTTTTTGCTTGCTGGGTCAGTTCCTTGACCCTCCTTTGTTGAAAGGAATCAGGGTAAGGAGGAGAAAATGAAAATAGAAGTTGAAGAGCTAAAGTGATCTACATGACATAGAGCAGAGAGGAAAGAGGACAGAGACAAAGACACAGGCAATTTTCAATAGGGACAGTTTGGAGAAAGAAGCAGTCACAGGGTATGCAAGTACTGGGGAAGACAGGGAGAGGAATTTTAGCAAGTGTTGCCCAAGGGTGATACATTAGATTTCCATAAATGGTATTTGAGAAACACAAGTAAACATGAGAACAGCGTCTACGTTTGTTTCGTCTGCTGGACTGTTTCTTGAATGCAACACCGTCTTGAACCTGAGAGGCCCCGCTTTTGTGCAGGTGACACATGATGCCTGGAGCCAGGTCTCTGGCTACTATGCACATAGGTACGTCAAGTAGTCTTATTAGGGAGTGTGTTCTCTTCCTCTTCTCTTCTGCTACCTACTAGCCCCACATTGGTCCTGCGTTCAGCTGTAATGGGCCCGGCCTTACACTAAATATTCTTCTCCCTGTAGGCTATCGCCTCTTTTTCCTCTTCCATGTGCAGTCCAAGCCCAGGTTAACTCCTTTGCCTCATGACCCAGACTCCTCAGGGCCAGCCTCAGGAAGGCCAAGGTACACTTCAGAAGGCTCCCTTTGCTTCCCCAAAGATAATGTCATACGTCTTTTATGCTCAGGTGTCAGCCCTTGCATTTCTGAGAGCTAGGTATGACTGGCTCAAATTCCACCAAGTTAGATATTTACAAACTCACGGAATCTCATTGAGATTTCAATGGTTTCCTCTGGCCCCTGGGCTTGCACACACACTGTTTCTTCCCTGAACAACATGGGCCAAATGCCAAACTTAGCCCTCTGGTTGGTTTCCGATGTTGGTTTCCACCGTAAACTCACTCATGCTAAATGTTTTATGAGTGCATGTATTTATTTTACTGAAGATTTTGGGTTGTGGGGAGGGGTCAAATATACAGCCCCTCCCCCATTTTGCTGGCTCCATTCTCTTCTTTGGAAAAAGAGAGTTCTTTCTCCGGCTTTTCCCTCCCTCCAACTTTCCCCTCTTTCTCTCCCTGCCTCATGCTTAGCAATTTGTGCTTATCTTTCATAGCTTGACCTCATCCCTGACAGTCTCACTCTCCCACACTAGGAACTTTGTTAAAGTACTTCTTTTAAAAACATCCAGGGCTCTTCCTCACGTGAATTCTGCTAGATACTGTCTTTTCCATTTCCCCACATACAGATGGCAGGTCATCAGAGTGAACACAGGAGTGCATGGTGGGTGAAGCTTTAAGAGCCAGGCTTCAAGGCTTGCTGAGGAACCACCTTCGCTTCTCTGTACCTCAGATTCCTCTCCTGTAAAATGGTGTAAGGTACTAGATCACCTCTGAGTTCCCATCCAGCTCAAAATGTCTGTGATTCTCACTGGGGTTGGAAGGGACAGAGAAGGAAGTAGAGTCTGGAGATGTGGAAACGCTGAGAGTGGTAGAGTGGAAAGAAGAGGAGTGGAAAGGCCTTAGACTGTGGCCTTACGGGCTGATTTCCACGTTGACTCATTGGCAACAGCATTCCATTTGGGTTGGCTGAGAGGTCCAGTAACTGATTTCTTAGCAGCAGCTGGGGATTTCCTCAAAACACACAGGCCTGGGCCCCTGCCCCAAATTTCCATGCCGTAGGAACAGCTCTGGCTGCCAGCACCCAGTGGTATTCAGGGCAAATGTGAAAACACTCAATCTGGCCCAGATCTCAGTCAGGCAAGAAGCATCAGTGGTAAATAGTTTAGACAAAGATCCAGGCAGGAGTATTGGAAACTTTTAGTGTTTTGGGAAGCCTCAAAAGAGAGAAAAAAAGTATTTGACGATTCTAAGAGTAGCTATAAGTTTTTCTTTCATCTCTATATTGGCTTTATTTTTCAGATCCGTTAGGGAAGAAAAGAACATCTCTGGCAAGAGAGATTGGACATAAAAGGCCTTTTCATGGATGAGTCTAGATCAATGGAGGCTGCTTTGGTTTTATAACAAATATCCAATGTGATTAGGGGAACAGTGAACGGAATTAAGGGGCCCAAATAAAAATGTTCTCCTCTTAAATCTGTCTTGGTGGGATGCAACATTGGGCTGGGGCAACCGGCATTCTTGGAATCTTGGAAAATTTATGTAAGCTCTCTAAACCTCATCTTTGAAATGCAAATAACAGGAGTAGCCACCTCATCAGGTTGGTGAGAGGTTTTAATGAGATAATCCACACAAAGTGCATAGAACAGTGCCTGGCAGGTCTCGAACACTCAGTCCATGGTAGGTCAAGTTCCTAGCGATTGTTAATTGAACCACACTAAAATCGTTGGTACTAAGTTTGCAGTCTCTTTCTCTGCATCATTTTAACTGTCTCTGAAAGAGTGGGGAGAATTCTCCTGCTGTCAGTGTGCACCAAGATGATGTAGAGACACTCATAACGCCCAGCTCCCCATGGCGTGGAGGGCTATGAGTGCCAGCGCATTCATAGCCCAGTTCCAGGCAGCCCATAAAATCACACAGATTTAAGTTCCTCAAGAACACTGTTTATATCAGAGCATAGTAGGAGAATGAATGTCAGCTGCAGACAGGTCTGAATTCAAACCCTGCCTCCGCCCCAGAGCAACTGTATCTTTTGGCAAGTTGCCTAATTTGTTGAAGCTCCTGAAAAATGGAGATACTATAAAATCCTACAGGGTTATTGTGAAGACAAAGAGATCATAGATGACCAGCATGCAGCACAGTGCCTGGCTGTAGCAAGGCTCAAGAACCAGTCACCTTATTATTATTACTATATTATTACTTATTATATAAGTATTGTATGTTATAATAATAATCTGTGATGATGCTCTTATTCTCTCCGATGACGCTGTGGAAGGCAGATTCACCTCTCCCTGATCCTTCACCTTTGTTTCATCATGTCAGCATTTCCCTGGTAAAGGAAAATAGCCCTGACGAGTTAGAAATAGTTCTGGTGTAAAGGGCATTGAATTTTTTTGCCTGAAGATCTTCATCCAGGTCCTTTTTTGCCACTTATTGGCCATGTGACCTTGCAAAAGTCACATAACCTCTCTGAGCCTCAGGGACACCTGGGGACAATGTAATCAACTTCACAGGTTTGTGGTAAAGATTAAAAGAGATGTTTGAAAGTGACTGGTAAAGCAGTATGTATTATAAAAGTATCACGTGTTATCGTTAAGACATGGCATCCTCTACTTCTTTTCCCTAAATATCTTTAGATCCTATATATATTTTATGTAGAAATGTAAACCACTCTCCTATGTCACAGTGGATACGGGATTTTCCAGCATTCTTTTAAAATGGTGGCTGAGCCTTGTTAAATTCATCTCTGTCATAGGTTGGAAGGGAGAGAAATGGACCCGGATTCTCCTCACTTTGGGGTCTTGCCTAGGAGTCTAATCCATCAGTTTCTAGGAAAAACTTTCGCAACAGGATTATTTATACATTTGAAAATCTAAGGAGCTTTCAGGTTTCAGTTCGGATTGCACAGAAAACACTGAAACACTGAAGCTACAAAAATAAGGTCAAGTCTCTTCCCCAAGACCGTTCCTCCTTTCTCAGCCACGCCACACCCGGGCTTCCTGGCGCATCCGGGCCACAGCAAGGGTGCACTGATTCACAGCCCAGGCCTTGGGAACCGCCGCAGACTTTCCTCCCACGCCCCTGAGGGGATGCTCTAGCAGAGGCTTCTTGCAGCTTCGGGAAGAGCCGATTTTCTGGAAGGGCTTGGACTATTTTTTCTGGATCATGGAAAAGGGCTCCGGCATAATACTGAAAAGGCACAGTTCAGACTAAGGCAATGTCAAAGGAGGGGTCAAATAGAGAAAATTGTTTCCCGGTTTGCTTCTTAGCAAAGGCTAAAGGTCTCTAGCAGAAACTCCTTGTTGTAATGCTTTGGGACCACAGCGCCATGTTGTACAGCTGCAGGGGTAAGATTTCCATTGTGCTCTCCGATGTACTCTAGGGGGCGCCATTCTTAAAGAATAGGATGCAACTAGTGCTCCAAGCTTTTGTGCAAAAGGATCTTGGGGCACCAAATCCTACAAGAGCCAAACTTCCAGTCACAAAGGCTCGGTTTTTCTGCTAGTCTTTCCCTTACAATGTTCCAGTTTCTTTCACAAACAAACCAATGAACAAATTAAAAAAAATTTAAGCCCTAGCCAAAACTTCAGAAGGGATATTAGATGATATAATGTTTCCAGGTGTGCGCCATTTAAAATTTCTCAGTGTGCAGTGGACGAGGTATTTATGAGGAAAGCAAATTTCTAGTTAAAATGTTTGGTTGATAATTTTTCTTCTTTCCCATTTCATTTGGGTATAATAATTCCCATTACCTGTTACACCCAGAGTCTCAGGAAAATAGAAAAGAAAAGAAAATGGTACTTTACTTTTAAATAAATTCCGAAGTCATCTCTCTGCCTCAGGCTCTCAAGATAAAAGACAGCGGCTGAGTAATTCAGGCAGTAGGTCTGGTGGCTCTGACAGACGCTCCCTCGGAAATACTGCAAGAGGAGAGGAGCCGAAGAATTAACAGAAGCAGGGAGACGGCTGACCGCTGACAGACTTTCTCTTTCTCTTCCCATTTACGCTTAACTAGGATGCGAAAAAGCGGAGGAGCCGCTGTTATCAGCAGGAGCTGTGACCGCGTGGATGGAAACAGGCTTCCCAATGAACATTCTTTTAAGAAAATATGATACTCCCATAATGAACAGTTAACTCCTCAATAAATGGTCTCCCCTACACCCCCATACTTAAAATTCTATTTAGGATGTCTTGATTTAATTCACCCTTCACTTCCGTTAATGCTTTGTTGAAGCCCACACACCCTGCATGGTACTTAATAACAAATATTGGCTTTGATTTCAATGCCCATGTTGGTTGATGTTAAACTTGTGTTGGTAGTAAGTGATTAAAGTAACAACATTTAACTTTTCATCAAATATTCCTCAAAAATATCCATAAATTTAATTCTCCTGCTGGCTTCTAAAAATGTAGTCAACTTTGGGGCACCTTCACTGAGTATGCTATGTTTAGTAGTATGCATTTTGTATGGTAGTCTTACCCAACCTAACGCTTATCTTCCCTGTTCCTCATTATTCTTATTTAGTGTCTTAAACTTGCTATCATGGCTACACATTTATAAGCCATCTCAAATTTATTTTAGCAGAAGAGAAATGGACAATTTGTATGTCTGTGTTCATATACTTAATGGTCAAGCTGAGCACACCACACAATGTGCCACCATCTCAGATAAGTGTCTCTCTTTGGAATGACAATTATTCTTTTCTCTTCACCAATGCTTCTGGCTCGTTATTGGCAGACACTCTTTCCCGAATTTCATAGTGCCTACCATGTTGCTAAGCCTATGTGCTCCTTGAATGGGTCCCTTAAGGAATTTTGAATAGTGTCATCCTGTGGTGGAAGGAGAGGAGAAAGACAGACTTGATGGCGACATGATCACTACAGCGAGCAGGGAAAGCAGGCCCAACCTAAAAAGCCACTGAAGGAAGTGATAGCAGTAAAGGCAGAGGTAATGAAAACCTAGAAAAATTTTGTTATAGAACCTCAGAGGAGAAAATGACATGGGAGAAATGTCATGTTTTGGCTCCAGCAAGGGGGAATTTGAAAGACAATGATGTGAGTTTATTTTTGAGGCAGGAGGGTGTCTGGGTAGCAAAGAGGACTTAGAGCTAAGAAAAGGTCTTCTCACAGCACACTGAGATGCTCGAGAAACGCCGTTACTCGGAGACAATTGTTAAGACCATAAATGGTCAGCCTTAGAAATCCAGTTCCACAACCCATTAGCTATGTGAACTTGGTCGAATTAGCTAACCTCTTCAAGCCTCAGTTTCCTTCTCAGTGACTTGCTCAGATGGCTTACGTGTGAATAACAAACGTCCCAGTCTTCCACTGGTGAGCTTCCTATGAGACACCGTGGTGGGCTGTATTATCATACACGTCTAGTTCCCCTTCATGGGGAGGATCACGTGTCCCCACTCCACTGAGGGTAAGCTTGGCCGTGTGATTTTCCTTGGCCAATGAAATGTGAGCAGACTTGCCCTGTGTTGCGTCAGGCAGAAACTTGAAGCATCAGTGAGTGCTCTGCCCCAGTCTCTTATGTCTTTGCCATGGTGACTGGTACTGCTCCAGGTGGTGGCTCCTCCCTCAGCATGGGTCCCAGAGTGAGGACAATGACCAAGTGGAAGCAGAGCATCAGTGAGACATGAACCAAGCCACTGAGATTGGGGATTGTTACTGTGGTACAACTGAGTCTAACCTGACTGCTATAGGAGCTTTTAACTTTAGGAAAAGCTTTTATAACCCGTCTTTGCTGTTCTGTAACATAATATGAAGCATTCCTATGTGGGTATATTATAGACTTTTAGTAAAGTCCATTGAGATCCCTTGCTTCAGTAGACTATAAGTGCACTTAGGCTGTAAGTCTGAATCTCTGTGTCCCGCCTCAAATTCGTAGGTTGAATGCTCACCCGCCATGTGATGGTCTTAGGAGTGGGCCCTTCTGGAGATGATCAGGTCCTGAAGCTGGAGCCCTCATGAATAAGATTAATGTCTTTGTCAGAGAGGCTCCAGAGGCCTTTCTAGCCCCTTCCACCACGTGAAGGATAAAATGAGAAGTGCAGTCCAGAAGGGGGCCCTCCCCTGACCACACTGGCACCCAGCTCTCGGACTTCCACTGTCCAGAACTGGGAGAAATAGATTTCTGTTGTTTATAAGCCACCCCGCCTGTGGTATTTTGTTACAGCAGCCTGAGCAGACTAAGACAACTTATGTGTTTTGATGAGGAGTTGATACTTCTCCAGACTGTTTACTCAAAGCTAAACCTAAAATTAAATGACTCAAAAGGAATTGAGAGATCCTGAGGTTTTAGCTAATCCCTCACACTGACATTCTTTCTCTTGTTTTTCTTATCGAAATCTGTCTTCAGAGTTCACAAAGGATCCTCCTACTTTCTACCAAATTTCCTGCTTGTTTTGCCTTGTGAAATATTCCTTCTCCTTCATATCTCCCCTCAGGCATCATTGCCCCAGGAAGAATTTCCTATCTGTAACTGCCTACCTCATCGTCTGCCCCCCAAGAAGCTTTCCTTCATCAATCATATCAATGTTCCTTTTTCCCCTAGTAGTTATCTTAATTTGATTATATAATCCTTAGTGTCATTTTTGGATTAATTTCTCCCTCACTAGACGGAAAAGTCACCAAAAGCAGGGAGTGTGCAACTTTGCACATTATTATGTACAGGCTGTCAGCCCCACACATAAGCGCTTAGTAAGTGCTCAATAAATCTCAATCTATATTTTTTAAATGGATCGTGAGAATTCACATCTTGCTAAATGAAAATAGATAAGGGACTGGATTAAAAAGCTCAAAGTTAAAAAAGGGGCTGGAGGTCCAAATATTTACGCCAGAAATAAATAGCATTTATCAAACCAGGGCTACAGATTTTCCTTTTTTCTCCTCCTTCATAGGCAGAAGTCTCATTAAGGGTGTTGATGGATTTGAAGGTTTTTTTTGTTCCTTTCTGAGAGACTGGCACTGTTGTTAGAAGAACAACTGAACCATGTAATTAGCCTCTGCAAACTATTGCCATGAATATTGCTTTAAATTGAAGTCATTTAAAAAACAGACTTGGAAATGGCTTTTCCATGCATGCAGATTTTTGTGTTACTAAAACCCACACAGGAGATGTGACAATGGGAAAGCAGAATCTGCAAGTTATTTTTGAAAACATTGGTTGGTGGAGACAGGGATGGTTCCTTTGTAAGAAGGTGCTGGTGGAACTTTCCCAGGAACGACAACAGAAATTAAGCAGGGATAAACAGCTACCCCGGAAGGTGGGAGAATTTCGTGCATGAAGCTGAGATCTCCCAGAAGAATTTTACCTTCGTGAGCACAGAAATGAAATCCATCGATGGTGGAGTCTCAGAAGCGTCAACATAGTCCTTGAAGATGCGGAAAAGACTATTCACAAAACTAAAGCTTGTCTAGGGGTAGAGAGAAAGAAAACAAAAGTGGGCACACAGCCATGAGTAAGGAATAAATATTTGATGAACTTCAAGCATCGTTCTTACAGATGTCTTCCTTTTTAAACTTATCTCCTCACAAAACTCAAAGATTTATTTTCCTCCAATCTCCAATATATATTTTCTTATAAATAATTCTTTTTGATATCTCTCCTCTCTTCCTTTTTAGAAGAAAGATATTATTTATTTATAATGTATGTGAGAAAAGGACATTCATTTGAGAATAAACGTTTAGGAAGATGATGGAGATGTTAGGAATGTGTTTACTTTCTTAAAAAGTGAAAAATGTTACTGAAGGCTGATAGCTGCAATCTCTTGGAAAGATGTCGATGGATGTTTTGATTTCCTTCTTATCAACCTAAACTCCTGACCATAAGATTATATGGGGATGGAATATGAAATAAACCATGTTCCATATTCCAATATGCAATACAAGCCACAGGAACAGACCAAGCGTGACTTTTCATGACCCTCTAGTGAATTTTAAAACATGGCTACTGGCGTCTTCCTACTTTGGCTCACCTGGCTTAACTCCTCCAGGTTAGCAAAAAGTCTCCATAAATCCACATCCGGGAGATAGTCATGAGTTTGTAGATATCTTAGTGTATTCATGAAGATCTTCAAAAAAAATAAATGCACATTACTTTCCATTATTTCGTTTTAAAACTTGTCCTTTGCAAGAACACTAAACATAAATCTCCTGAGTATAACATTACAAAACAATTTAGAAATCAGTATTTTGAAGGTTTAAGAATTTTCCTGAGTACAAATGATGGCATTTGAGCTCCATAGACCATATGGGAAATGTGCTCTTCTGTAGGAAGTCGTTGTTGCTTGTGCGAGTCCTAACAACATTCCTGTTGAACATAATCTGCTCAAATGGGCTTTCTCTGCCTCCCAGTGCCAAAGAAATCGCAAAGGTTCTCTTCTTGCCAACAGTACTAACTTGAGACCAAAACAGCATTCATGCTGAGTTCTCATTTATTGCTTCCTCTGCAAAAGACACAAATAACCTTTACTGTCAGGGCATTAAAAATAGAGAGCTAATGAGTGAATATCTGAAAACTGGTAAGATGTTTAGATTTGGATAAGTGCATTAAATATTAGTGAAATTATTAAGAGAGTCCTTAGGTTATTATTACTTGATCTGATGCTTTCAGCTAATGGGAAAACTATTCTACAGCAAGCCAAGAAAGAGCTACAATCTTCACAGATAACTTGCCCCTCATTCTATAGACTAAAGCGAGATTAACTTCTTGAAATAGGAATGCTTTGTATAAATATAGCAAAGCCAATTATTTCAAGAATTTTAGGTGTGAAAAGACTTGTACTTTAGACTGCCAACTTTCTGAAATTCCCATTTTTGTATTACTTAATTCATGCAATGAATGGTTCTTGAAATGCATCAGAATTGCCTAGTGGCCTTGTTAAACCAGAGATTCCTGCTCCCCACCCCCCCGCCCCCAGTTTCTGATTCAGTAGGTCTCTGATGGGGTGTGAGAACACTCATTTCTAACAAGTTTCCAAGTGATCTTGATACTGTTGGTCTAGGGACCACTGTTCGAGAACCACTGACTTAGAGCTTCCCAAAATCCATATAGTGTTGATTGTCTGGAAATCTGTCAATATCCAAGCATTTACAACATATAATTGTAAAACACAGAATAAAAGTGGGGAAATTTAGAAGAAAATTAGAAGAAAAACTTAGGCTTTTTGCTATAATAGTCTTTGCTTTACAAAACCTTTTGTCATTTTCAAAAAATATTGGATCCTCCAGTATATTTATTTTACTTTGAGTTACAAAATCCCAATTTACAAGCAACTTTGGGAAACACGTTGGTTGTGTAAAGGGAGAAACATGTGTACTGTAAATACACTAAGACACTGGAAAATAAATAAACTCAAAGTGGCCTTTTTTAAAGCAGACAATGCTAATTTGAAAAGCTTGTGCAGCTGACAGTGGGACAGAAAGTTCTGTGCTGTTTGTTAGGGCAAAAGAGGTAATATAGCTCAGGGGTTAGTGCTCTGCAATGAACATCTATTGGTTGCCACCCAGCTTCAATGCTCCCCTTCCCCAACATCATTCTGGTTTTCACCTCAGTATCAACTCTTCCCCATGTGCCATGTGGCAAACTGACCTTACTCCCAGGGACGCACCTTGGTTGCATTAAGGCAATTAGCACACTCCTTCCTTATCTGAGTAGTTGGTTCAGGAGTGGGCATGAGACTTGAGCCAGTCCAATCAGAAAGAAAATCAAGACTTCTGCTATGAATGCTGAGAAGAGAACCTGTCTCTCTCTCCTTCTCTCTCTCTCTTTCTTTTCTTTCTCTCCATCTATGGGCTCAGAGACAGCAGCCATTCTGTGACTACAATAGAAGCCAGCCACAGGATGAGGCTGATGCCGTGGAAGGCAGGGGTGAGAGATGGAAAAAAATTTTGTCCTTGGTTTTGAGCCCCTTGATCAAACCAACCTGGATCTCTCACACCTCTGGATTTTACAGTCACATGGGCCAATGAAACCCTGTATTATTTAAGCTCATTCTCTGAATCCTAACTGATAAACTCTCTAAGCATCAATTTTCTCAGAGTGTCTTTGCCATTTAAATTTTGCTGGTACAGTACTTAGTGCTGTGACCAACACTTAATCAACGTTACTTACAGAAAATAATAACAGACATTTGTATGTCACTTGACTGATTTCAAAGAAAACTAATCTGATCATCACAATGATCAGATGTTATGAGATAGCCAGAGATGGTATTGTCATCCCTCTTTTGTAGCTTAGGACAGGAATTGTCAAACTACAGCCTGTGGTATAAATCAGGCCTGCTACCTATTTTCCTAAATCATGTTTTATTGTCACACAGCCATGCACATTCCTTTACAAATTATGTATGGCTTCTTTTGGACTACAATGGAAGAGCTGAGTATTGCAATAAAGACCACATGGCCTGCAAAGCCTACAATATTTACTACCTGGACCTTTACAGAAAATGTTTGCCAACCTCTGGTTTAGGAAATGGAGGACTAGACTTTCCTAAGTCACGTAGTAAGTCAAAGGCAGATCCAGAACTTGAACATGGGTCTCCTAACACTGCTTTTTCTTGTGTAAGAGAGTAGCCAGGATTCAAAAATGCTTGTGGGCAGAGGCAACCTTGGAAGCAACGTGGCTCATCCTTCACTATGATCTTAGAAGGCAGTTGCTCCCTTCCTATCCCTTGCCCTCTGGTTCTTCTGCAAGGAAGTCTCTGCTCAGAAACACACCAGATCAGGGCTGCAGCACTGCACAACATCAGGGGCACCATTTACGTGGCAGACATCATGAATACACCGTGTAATCCAACCCCATTGTATTCCATGTACTGGCTGCCCCAGAAATCTGTGACTATGGTCCTGCAGCTGATAGAAAGTATTTACCTGGCACTGTTCATGAGGGAGCAAGAGTTCCGAAGGAGGGAGCTGACCAAAGATGGAATGGGCCACCTTGAGGGTGGTTGTGAGCTCCTCGGCTCAAGGGATGTATAGACACGGGGTGAGAATAAGGCAGAAGAGAGTCAGATCTCAGACGGTGAGCTGGACTAGTTTACTTAGAAAATATCATCCAATCCTGAGAGGCTATGTTTAAGAAAAGAAGGAAGAGGGGCCAGCCTGTGGCCAAGTGGTTAAGTTCATGCGCTCTGCTTCAGCAGCCCCGGCTTTTGCCAGTTCGGATGCCGGGTGCAGACATGGCACCGCTAATCAAGCCACGCTGAGGCAGCATCCCACATAGCACAACCAGAAGGACCTACAGCTAAAATATACAACTGTGTGCTGGGGGCTTTGGAGAGAAGAAGAAGAGGAAAAAAGAAGATTGGCAACTGTTGTTAGCTCAGGTGGCAATCAAAAAAAAAAAAGAAAGAAAAAGAAAAGAAAATGAGGAAGAGACCACCAAATAGTAGATAAACAATAGATAAAAGTTTCTTGGGACCAGCCCCATGACCAAGTGGTTAAGTTCCTGTGCTCCGCTTCGGTGGCCCAGGGTTTCGCCAGTTCCGATCCTGGGTGCAGACCTAGCACCGCTCATCAGGCCACGCTGAGGCGGCGTCCCACACAGCACAACCAGAGGGACCTACAGCTAGAATATACAACTATGTACTGGGGGCTTTGGGGAGAAGAAGAAGAAGAACAAGAAGAGAAGAAGGCAAAAAAAAACATCGGCAACAGATGTTAGATCAGGTGCCAATCTTTAAAAAAAAAAAGTTTCTTAAGATCCTCGAAAGAGGGGAACTCCCCACCCCCCAAACTTTCTTCTTTCAGCATGGAAGAGGAAAACAAATCCCCAAAGAATCAAATTAATATTTTCCATCTACAACAAAAATTAAGCCCAGCATTACCATCTTAAGAACTAATAAATGGTCCAAGAAATAAGTGCATTCACTTGTGAAAAGTTCCCACATGGCCTCTTGCTGCTTTCTCAAGTCTAAATGATCAGTAGGAAGTTTTTGATATGTTTCCATGACTTCATTCCAGGTCTTATCCTGTACATGGGAGAAAAGAGAGAACAAAAATTTCCATCTCGATGGGTTGACCTGTTCACTATTTGCTCTGACTTCGCAGGAACAAGCGTACTCGAAATCATGGTTTCCTGCCGCAGGGCCCCGCATCCCTCTTGGTAGTGATGCTTCAAGCTACCCAAACCACAGATTTCTTTATGGTTTTGGGATGCCACTTCCTCCCAATGCAAAGCATGGAATGTGTGACATATGTTATTTTTAATTTAAAATGAAAAGGCACTCAAATTGATGTTCTTTTGAATTATGCTTGAGAATTTCATGAGTCTTTTTCAGTTTATTGCAAAAAACACCCTTCAAAGAACCCCAAACCCAGAACTGGGAAGTCTAATCCAGGTTCCCCTGGAAACGCTTGTTGAAATTAACTACTGAAGAATCAGGAAATAAGAGTTTTAAAGTTTAAAGAGGCCTTTGGAAGTTGACTTATCAAAACCATCTTATTTTTCAAATGAGGAAATTGAGGTCCAGAGAAGTGAATAATCATAGCAACTATAACATTTGTACAAGACCTCATGGTCTACAAAGTGCTCTCATATCCATCACTTCAGTTTAAATAAAATGACTTTCCTGGGGGTTCAGTGTGCGTTAGAGAGAGCAGACCTGGTTCCTCTCCTGAACCTTGTTGTTTTTATGAACAAGGTGATAATCTGACAACTTAAGATAATGACTAAAACAAAAAGAGAAGCCACGCCACACAACAAACAGTTTATGAGATACCTTAAGGCTGTGGAACTCATAGCGCCTGAAGTCTGTAATCTTCACAGAGGAGAGGCAGTTTTCCAGATCAGACACATGCTTGTGTTTGTCTTTGCCCTGCTTAAAGATTGTTAGAAACGGGATTTTCAAACACGACAAGATTTTGGTAGCTTCAGCATCTTTTATTCATTCATTTTCTAACATGCATGAGAACAGACTGTACATTTTCTCTATAAGCTATTTCTGAGCCATAGTCTGACTCACAGGACCACAGAATGTCAAACCTGGAGGAGAGAGGCTGGTGAGGATGTCTAGTCAACACATGTCATTTTACTAATGAAAAAAAAAAGGACCCATCTTAGCATGGTCATATAGCACATAGACGGAGTTCAGTCTAGCATCTACCCCGTAGGGTGATATATAAAGTTCTAACTTGGCAAACACTGGATCATAGGACTTTAGCATCAAAAGGTGCCTTGGATGTCTTAGTTCAACCTCTCATTTAGCAGATGATTCAATAAAGCCCAGAGTGTTAATGGAATTGCCCAACACAGTAATTCTCTACTAACGAATACCAGAATATGCCAGAAACTCTAGTTTCCTTGGAATGGAACTGCCCATTTATTTTTGTTAGAATTTTAGTTAAAAAAATCTGATTACAAGGCAATGTATGGTTACTGTAGAAAATTTGGGAAACAAAAACACAAAGAAAATCAAAGTCACTCATAATCTCTACCCCAGATAACCACTGAAAACCTTTTTCTGATCATATTTATAACTAACTTTTAATTGTGCCCTATTTATACATTCTTTTATTACTTGGTTTTTAAACTTAACATATTGTGACCTTTTTTTTTTTGGATTCATTCAGTATTCTGTTGCAATATGATGAATTATCCGCTTAAAGAGTTCATTTTACCAACAAAACCGGGAAGAAGCTATCAAATAACAATGTGTAAGGCTTTCTAAAGTCGACTTGGCTGCATCTCAAGTGAATGTTTTTCACAAGTAATTTTTTAATTTGTTCTGTTGCTTCAGCGTGCATGATGCTGGCATGGATCTAAGCAGTTTGGTGGAAGTTACTCAACTTTGTGTTAATGAGCAAGGGAAGGCATGAGTTATCTGCTGCTGTGGGTGGGTGGCTCCCTGTGTATCTGAAAGGAGACTCTGCAATAGTTTCAGAATGTGCTAAAGGGCCGTGGCTGGTTTCTCTGGTAGGGTTATGGCACTGAAAGGGGAGCCTATGAGACTCATTAGCTTCCACAGCAGAAATGGAATCTTGGAGCTGGTTGGGGACCTCCTACCACAGTTGGGACATATGCCTTTTGTTGAGGTCTGAAACCATAGTGACTGCATGTTGTGGAAATCAAAATAGCAGCAGCCAGTTGGAAAATAAAGAAGCGGAGACAATGAAAGCAGCATTGGGACTGTGGGAAAGTGGGCACCAGCCCTCTGTCTTGAAGGACACTCACTGTCACTCTCCATGGGTCTGACCAACCTCCTGACCAAAGAAGTGCTTGATGGTTATACCAGTGAGAAAGGAGGGGACAGTCTGCTCAGAGGCCACATTAACTCTTTAGAGTGACAGACCCGTTGTTGGAAGCCTTGTTGCTTCCACTATAGTGGCATTGGCTAGGTGAGACAATGAGAAACATTTGAAGGGTATTTGAGAGGATATGGAAGATGATGAGAAGTAAGAGGCCAAGGCTACCTCTAGGGTCTCAAACCTAATAACTAAGAGGTGGGTGGAATGGAAATTTGCAGTAGGCGCTGGTGACATGGAACTGGAGTGAAATGGATATATGTGAACATATCCATATTGGAATGGTTGACAAGGAGATGGCATTGAATTGGTGAGAACAGACGAGACCTTTGAGAGCTCTGCTGAGATAAAGGAGGGAGGAGTGTCTAGCACTGGTTATGGGGCCCCACAGTTGGAGGAATAATTTAATGTTGGGGCTAAAACAGGCTCAGAGCTAGACCGCCTGGGACTGTTGGGGACAAATCCCCATTCTGCTGTTTATGAGCTGTGTGTGACCTCAGGTGAGTTATTCAATCTCTCTGAACCTCAGTTTCCCCCTTTGAAAAATGAGGATAATAATGTTACCTACCTTGTTGGGTTGTTGTGATAATTAATGAGTTAATATATGTCAACTACGGCGTACACAAACAGGAACACACGCAAACAGAAACAGTGTCTGATAATGTGGTAAGCATTACATATGTGTTTGCTTTTATTACTAATATTGTTATTGAGGGGTGGGAAGAAAGGAAGAAGAGAGGGAAAGAAGGTGAGAAAAGGAAAAATCTTCAATAGATTGGGAAAATACATTACAATGTAGTAGCGTGTTTGTTATATTGATGCAGATTATCACTTACATAGATATGAATTATTTGACAAATAATGCTAAAAGGATGAGGGAGTAAGTAGACATGTTGATTTTAAGGGGACCAGATATTGTGTCCTGGTGAAAGTAAACATTCAAGAAATGAAATTTCCTTTTATTAGTGAGAACATTTGCTGAAACATTATGTCATCCCACTAATTATTCTGTCTTTGTATACCTCCACCACTGCCTACCCACCTCCAACACTGGGCAAGCCATTTAGCACATTTTGTTTTCCAATTTACATGTCAGTCTGACCTTCTCAATTGTGAGCTGCTAATGGGCATCTTGACGTCTTAGTACACTCGTCCAACGTACGTGGAACAAATTGCTTCTTCAGAGGGAAAAAAATAGACTGATCACGACAACTTGTAGGAATATCCTTCCTTAGGTTAGTCTTCCCTCTTGAAAGCACATTCTGTCTCCCAGGTGGCCCTTAGAGCTTCCCTGGTCTGGAGGAGAGCTGGTGAAAGATGCCCCTTCTCCGAGACCCCAGAAGTGGCTGGTAACAGGCCCTGCCTCCATTTAAATGAGGAAGGAGCCCAGGAAAGGCTGTACGTCTCACGTTCTGCCAGGAAAAGAGTCAAATCTTGTCCCTAAACAAGGACAAAGCGAAATGCTGAGCAACAGCCATGGTGACAATGGTGTCATCATTTTGCTAATAGTGTACAACTTGACGCTTGTAATGTTTAGACTGTGTCACTATGGATGGAATGTTTCTGTCCACCACAAATTCATCTAAAGCCCTAACCCCCCCAGTGTGATGGTATTTGGAGATAGGACCTTTGGGAAATAATTAGGTTTAGATGAGGGCTTGAGGGGGCCCCCATGATGGAATTAGTGTCCCTATAAGAAAGGGAAGAGACACCGGAGCTCTCCACTGTGTGAGGACACAGTGAGAAGGTGGCCATCTATAAGCCAGGAAGAAGGCTCTCACCAGAACCCGACATCCTGGCACCCTGATCTTGAACTTCCCAGCCCCAGAATTGTAAGAAATAAATATTGGGTGTTTAAGCCACCTAGTCTGCAGTATTTTGTTATAGCAGCCTGAGCTAAGACATTCATACAAACTGTTGACACTTGGAAAAATAATGTGAAAGTCACTGATATACTCAATTATGAGAATACTTTTTCCAAACCCTAATTACCAATAATACTACCAATAATATGGCCAATATCAGTTGTTTAAGATGTGTCCAGCTCTGGGGCCAGCTCCACATGCGTTATTTGACTTCCTTGTCACAACCACTCTATGAGGCTGGCACTATTACCATCCACCTTTTATAGGGAAGGACCTGAAGCTGAGGGAGGTTAATTCATTTGGCCAAGGTCACAGAACGGTAAGTGGAGCAGCTGGGAGTGGAACCTCAGAGGGCTTTTAATTTAGTTGTGGTACTTAAAAAATACCAGTGTGTGTGTGTCCGCAGAACGTCCAAGGTGGGTGTCAACAACTAATAACAAATTAATCAGAGAGGCCACCTGGCCAGATTTTTAACAGAATGAGGCACAGTGTAGGTATCGCAACTAGCTTTGTTGGAAGGAGAAACAGTCCGTCCTTCCCCCCTCCTCCAAAAAACAGGAGTGAGGAGTCGGGTTGTGGTCAGGAACACTTCTTCCCTCCACCCCCAGCAGGCCTGAAGGAAAGGCCGGACAGTGGTTAACCCTTGTCCTAGACAGTAAAGAATCATGGGCCACTGATTTCGATTTATAACTCTTCAATAATTGATGGAACCAAGAATGAATTTTTAAAAACCACGAGGACTCCAACCGGCTTTCCCAGAAATAGAAGTGTATTTGTGGAATCTCTTTCTGTAATATTTCATTAATTTTTCAGTGTTCCCAATATGCACACCACTGACGGCAAACTGGGGCATATGCTTGTGCAAGTTCACTTCATCAAGTAAGCAGTTTCCTAAGCTGTATCAAGTCATAAATGTGGAGTTGTAAAGCATCACAATATTAGGATTGCTTTGTGTTTTGCAGAGCTCATTAACCACTGGCAATTAACACTGTTTTGCTGCACAAAATGGCATCATTTGGCATGTTCTGTAGCCATTACTATGGATGTGATGATATAATTTAAATTTCGTGTGCTGTCTGCCATTATGCACAGAAAAAGTGAGATGAAGAGGCTCTTCAGTCCTTTCTTACTTTCTTAGCTACAGGAGGCTTAATTAAAACCCAACTGACAACACACAACACTTACCACTCCTCTCTTGGAGAAAGGCCATCTTGGCTTTTTGGATTCTGGTGGGTGAAATTAAAGAAGATAGATTAGTACTTTGAGTAACTAGTGACAGATCATTGCAGAGCTTTACAAAATCTGCTTTTTCAAATGAGCCAAGCAGAATTCATCCTGCTTTAATTCTCCTTCTCTTGAGCATGCACACAGAATAAATATTTATATGTATGCAGATGAGTGAATGAAGCAATGTTGCAACCTGAAGTTTGGTGTTAATTGCTACCTTAAGGTCATATTGTCCTGTTTCCTTACTAGAGTTCTGTTCAGCCTCCTTTTTCCCATCACTCAGGGAGAAACTTAGAAGATGTAATAAAGAGTTGAGTGATTCCTTTAAGACAGAGAGTCATAGAACTTTGGGGCTAAAAGGACTTCACTTTTACGTTGTTCTATCAAAACCATCAAAAACAATCCCAGCATATGCAATGTCAATAGCCTGACCAAACTTGAGTCTTGGAGATTGCATCAACCCAATAATCCCCATGTGTCGTTAAAGGCTGACACCTGAAATAGGGGGACATCAACACATCACCAATCTTTATGTTGGGGGCTTTTTGTCGCTATTGGCCACCATCCGAGTAGTCCTTAAGAGTTGCTTTGAGCTGAGAAGGAAGTCATCACTCAATAATGCACACTTTTGATGATCAGGGAGTAAAATGATTAGATTCTGGATTCTTGATTTTTATGTCATTTGCATCAATTTGTAATGCTACCCAGAAAAGGCTGGAACTATTTCTTAGGTTTAGGCAAGATATTCTGGTGACTCAATATACAAAATAGATGCCTTATAGGCCTATCTTTCTTTCTATTCAATTCATCAGGAGATGCTGCATAATACTTGAATCAGATGGAAGCAATTACCCGGGCAGCATTTACTACAAAGTATGTGCTGAGGGGCTTTTCCTGCTGGAACCCTGGAAGGCACCTGTCCAACTGATTATCTTGCTCATTCTGACCACCTTATCGATCTTTTGAAAGGGAAGATTAGATGGAACCTCCCTCAAGGACAAAGCAGCTTCACCACTCTTAGCCCTCAATGTCTGGTGGTAAATTATTATGTCCAATTTGAACTGCAATAATCTGTTCTTAGCAAATTTTTCTCCTTGGTTTTTCTAGCTTTGAGGATAATTTTAGGGCCTGGGGAAAGCTTCACAAGTATTCAGAAGAAAATTTAAATGAGTCTTTATTGATGCCACAATCTTTTATTGTCTCTAGCATATATTAAGTTTTGCTGAATCAGAATCTCTATTTCAACAATATCTCTAGGTGACTCATGTGCACATCGAAGCTGGAGAAGCACCACGAATCTGGGATGTGAGAACTCTATTCTAAACTCCTTGAGGAGGGGGCACAGAGGCGTATGATGGAGGACGTTGCAGAGCTTTTACTATGTGGCATCTACTGTGATGCTACGTACACAACAAAGATCAACCAGTAGATTTAGAAGCATCACACAGCAATTATGACCTTGTTCTTTAGCATGGTGGTTCTGAACCTTTAGCTGGCTCCAGAATCACCTGGAGGCCTCGCTAAAAAACAAATTGGTGCTCCCCGCCACCTCAGAGCTTCTAATTCAGAAGGCCTGGGGTTGGACCCCACACTCTAAATTTTTCACAATTTCCCAGGTAATATGGAAGCTGCTGGTCTGGGACCAACCTTTGGGAAAGACTACTCTTGGTATTAACCAGTTTAGAGCATTCATCAAGCATCATGAGATACGTACTAACCTCTGTTAAGGTTACGCAGTGTTTAGAACTAGCTCTAATTTCTAGGGGCCTGTCCTTGAGTAGATGGCTTAATCCCTCTTGGTTTGTTCACTTGGGTGATTGTATCAGATGAGACAGCAGATGTTCATTTGCATTATTGTGTCATATGAGACAGTAGATGTGAAAGGGATCTATAAAGAGTGGAGAGCTATACAATGTTAGTTATGGTTTATTTCCTGGTGACTTCTGGGTTCCACAGAGAAGACTACAGTTGCCCATACAATGGATGTTGATACAGGCTGGTGGAGAGGGCACAGGACTAGCAGTCAGGAGCCTAGATTCCGTTCTTCTGACACAAACCAGCTGACACCACAGCTAGGTCACTTCTCCTTTCTGGGTCGCACTGTGCACATATGTGAGTGAAGAATGAACTTGGTGGCTTTCTAACTATGTGCCGAGTGTCCTGGACTGCTGGGGATGCGTTGGAGGTGAGTCTTTGGGACCCACCCCATTTTCAGGCATTGCAACTCCACCTGGATCTGTTTTATACATTGGATTTCCAAGTGAGGGTTCTTTTGTAAAAAGGACTCTGCTAAGAACAAAACCAGTTTGAACGCTACCAGGATGGATCATCTTTAAGTTTCCTTTTAGCTCTCAAAGGCTACCCTCAGAATCAAGGAGAATGTGCCCTCAACACCGCAATTGCTCTTTCTTTCACAACTGAGTTCAAAATGCAGAAGAAGATTTGTCCCTAAGGCTGCCTACCTCTAATCTGCTCTAACAGGAATCTGCTGTCCCTGGGACCTCTGCCTCCACAAGGTACCACCTGGTTGGAAGGTACCACCTGGTTGGAAGATACCAGTGTGAGGCAGAAGGCCAGCAGCAGGCCAGGGGTGGCATTACAGCAATGATACAGAAGCTGCCCCCCAGCCCAGAGAGAGCCTTTTGCTCTAGAATGGTGACTGTCCCTGGTGTATCTTTTCCAGGTCCCAGACCTGGGGTAAATTCTTTGACAAGAGGACCTTTTGAGGGAAAGCTCATACCTATCCATGTCTGTAAGTGGAACACCCAATACCAAGGGTGGTATTCAGCTGGTTCCAGTAATTCATGGCCGATGCCAGTCCTAATTGGTGAGACATCTGTTTTAACTTGTTGGTGCACATGTTTCACCAGTCATTAAATATTCTGAAAATCACCCCTGCTTATTACAATATCTGTCCGTATCTGCCTTGTAACATAAGTATGCTGAATGAGCAGGACCTGGATTCAGCAGCAGAAGTGGGTGGCACAGATAATCGGCAGCTCCATCTGACACCAGAAGGTCCCCGGGGAACACCTCAAGTCCAGGTAAGTTGAGCACCACAGAACTCCGCCTGTGCTCAGGGAACCTGTGCTCAAGAGAAGGAAGGAGAGAGCTTAGAGCTGGCATGCAGGCAGGGCCGTCGCTCAGGACACCCTGGGGCTTTCAGAAATCCCTGCTAGCTGCCTGATTAATGCCTGCTTTTTTAGGAAGGTCGTGGAGGCCACGCCAGGCTCCAGGCCCGGGAGGGCTGTGATCACAACCCCCCACAACATGTTTACTCAACACCTTTTTGAGCCTTATTGACCATTTATGATTTCGACTAATCCAAAGCAGGAGATCTGGCCTGGAAATATCAAAACAAACATACTTGACATGTTCTGGCTCAGAAGGATACTAGGAGAAAGCCCTCAAACACGAGAGCAGTTGTAAATTATGCCCATGGCCTCAGCGGGAGTGAGGTGCATGGGTATGGCCACCAGCACCCCTAGTGATCTGAGGCTGGTTGTATAAAGTCAGTACTTTTATTTTTCCCAGAGAAAAATGAGAAGTATCGTTAGAAAACCCTAGCAAACAGGCCTATCTACCTTCTTCTTTCCTCTACCCCATTTCGCAAAACTTCCTGTCTGTTGGATGTTCACAAAATAAATAGTTGACATACCAGACACAGTGGGGAGCAGCTCCAAAGCCACTGGGCATTTGCTCAGTGATGTCTAAGGGGCAAAAGGGCTGAGGAATCTGCCACCCTGGGAACCAGCCTGAGAGCATTGAATTACAGTCATGTGTCACTTAACGATGGTGATACATCCTGAGAAATGCATCATTAGGCAATTTCTTCATTGTGTGAACATCATAGAGTGTACTTACACAAACGTAGATGGTATAGCCTACTACACGCCTAGGCTACATGGTACTAATCTTATGGGAGCACCGTCGCATTTTCAGTCTTTCATTGAACAAAACATCGTTATGTGGTGCGTGACTGTACAGGGATTTTCGTGGCTTCCTCATCAGAGCTGCTCAGATATTCCTTTGGTCTATTCTGAGGGATGAGAGATGTGCTTCTTTCTACTTCTTGACCAATGGAATCTCCAAATTCTTTTCACCAACAAATAGCTTAGCATATGGGTTACTTTATATACAAAGGCATTTTGACTCAATTTATCAACCAAAGCATAGCCACAGAATTGCCTTGAAAGTTGAGAGTCTGAGTCTGTCATACCCCTCTGGGTATTATGATTTGGTCCATTGCCATGCAGCTCCCTCTCCTGACAGAGAGGCTGTGCCCTGAGCCCCGTTAGTCTCCCCAGCCAGTCTTTCCTCTGTTCCTTCCAGTTCCCCACCTGCTTACTGCTTCAGTCCTCCCCGCTTTGTAGCCACGTTCCATGCTTCTGACCTTCTGCACGAGTGATGGCCTTTCTACCGGCACTTTCATCTCTCTCCTCATGATGGTACATTCTGGGATCTCATGCCCTATTTCTGGTTAATACGCCTGTCAGGGTCCTGGTCATGCCCTGTCAGGCCTATTATGCTGTTGACCAAGTCCTGGTGTATATTAGAATATCCTGTGGAATTTATTATAATAACATCCTCAAGTCCCACCCTTGGGATTCTGATCCAGTAGGTCTGAAGGTGGGCCTCTGCATCTGTAGTTTTACCCAGCTCCTTTGATAGTCGCCAGAGCTGGAGAAACTGATTTTGGGGATACAAGTACTTTGGTATAGGCCCTTCCTACATTTAGATCTTAAAGATTATTTCAAGTTCTCAGCCTTTTGCTGAAAACACTTCCAGACCATTTTACTTATGAATAGTAGGGCAAGTTGCTTGGGAGCTCTAATTAGAATAACCTACTTCCCATAAATTCCTACTAAATGTTTGAAGTAGGGCTGCCTCAGACCCTGCAGATAGATGCTGTAGGCATAAAAGAAGGTTAATTTTCAGCCATAAAAGGCTGCTTCCTCCAAGAGGGCTTCTCTGATGCTCAAAGAAGTAGTTCCTCATGTTTGTGCACTGCTCTGCAGCCTGGCTAGATCGGGCCCTGAGCATCTTCTATCTGTGTTAACACAGTTACCTCTTATTTCTTCACCTTTAGCTTTATTTTCTTGATTCCATCCTACTCCCAGTCACTAAAAGTGAATTATCTAAAATGTGAGCCCGACCTACCCCCTCCTGGCTTCAGATACCTCAGTGGCTCTGCATCTTGTACCGGATAAACACATTTTTAAACCATATATACAAGCCATCCATGATCTGGCCCATTTACCTTCCTAATATCCCTTACTTTGCAATTTATTCTCTGGAAACAGTGAGTAGATTGTCATTTCCCACACAAAATGTTTCACTCTTCAGTGCCTTGGCTGGGCGTGCTTTGCCCTTTCTCTGCCCTCTCCAAACCTGTCTAACTCCTCCCATGAGATTTAGGGCCATAGGTTATCTAAGTAACTTACAAGGGAAATACTTAGATAAAATTTGGCTCAGATTTGTCTAATTAGCTGTTTTCCCTGAGGTTTTAAAATCTGCTTTGACTGCCCCTTTTCTGCTCTTCTCGCTTGTTTTATTGGAAAATTTTAGGGTAATGTTGCAGACACTGCTAGCTGCCAACCCAAAGTGTATGCCCTCCATTTTTCTTGCTATCTAAACCCTGCTTTCTCTGGAGTGGCATGTGCTGAGTTCATACACAGCCCTGCTCTGACTCCCTTGCAGCTAGTGGAGCCATGTGACCCAAATCTGGCCAATGAGATTGACACAGGAGTTGCAGGCTGTGGCTTCTAGGAAAACTTTTTCAAAGGGGACAGAGTTGGCTAGCTTCTTCCTTTTATCTCTTGCTCTTTGCCCTTCTTGTTGCCTGAAATATGGCTTGATGCCTGAAAGTATACCAGTAATCTTGCAAAGATAGCAGCAGAACAGGAAAACAGAAGGATCCTGGAAGGCTGCTGACATCTGCCCTGGCCTGGGCTCTGCTTCTGTTGCAAGAGAAACACCCCGTATTTGCTCAGGTCGTTCTAGTCAGGTTCTGTTACACGCAGACAGATGCTATTCTGACTGATCCAGATTTCCCCATCCTGGATTTCCTTCTCCAAGAACGAGATCAACTTTCAGCATTCTGCACTCCTGTGGCTTTTTTACCACCTATTTATGTTGAAGTTTCATAATAAGATCATAACAGTTGCAACTTTTGACAACTCTCCCCTTTTTGGTATTTGCCAACCTAATGGCCATGGTGGTTATGAGGATAGAGGGGACTAAATTAGGTGGGAGTTGGAAAAGTTACAATAATTTGAATGAAAAATGTAATAATAATTTCATCATTTTGGATATAGGACATTGAGGCTGATACATAATGAATTGCTAGTATACAAATCCAGCTAGGAATTTTCACAGTGCTATTCAAAAGGTATTAGGTAACATAAAATGCTAGGAACCCACAAGAAGACCTCTGAAGGGAAATATTAGAAGCTTCCCCATCAAATTTATACTTCTCTTGATAAAGACCCTAGAAGCATACAATAAGATTTTGTGCTTATGGGGATACAGGGGATTGGAAAAATTACCATAATTTGAATGAGAAATGTAACCTAGTTGAATGTTGGGGGAAAGTTTACGCTTTTGAGCTTCAAATCTAGATGTTACACAATCTGGTAAGTATCATGAGTTTGGTAGTTTCCAAAGACTCTATAAGCTATCTCTATATTCCCTGGGGACCTCAGGGAGGACATAACTGCTGGTGGAGTGGAAGGATTCATCTTCCTGGCCCCCTCTACACTGGCTTATGTGTTTCTCTTCTGTGCTACTACAGTTCTCTGCAGTGAGGGTTGAGAATGTGGAGTCAAATTGCCTGGATTTTAATCTTAGCTATGATTGAGCCAACTAATAACCTCTCTGGCTCTGACTTTGCCATTTGTGAAATGTAGACAACAATCATACCTACTGATTGTGTGAGAATGGACAAGGTTGATCAATATAAACCACTTAGATCAGGTCTGGAACCTAGTAAGCTGTCAATAATTGCTACTATGTTGATTATTGAACATATTATAATGTTCTGTTTATGTGTCTGTTTACTCCACTGGACTGTCAGCTCCTTCAGTGTGAGAAACATGCCTGATCATCATCCGCGTTGGTGGGTGCTCATTTACTGCTCAATCCATTGTCATTGATGAACACAAATGAATGAAATACTTCTCTGATGCCGTCCTCCCTTGTGGAAAGTATCTTACTTTATAAGGCAGTTTTGCAGGTTCGTGTCTCACCTCTTCCATTACCCTAAGCTCCTAGCTCCTGGTCCTAATCCCTGAATTTAGTACGAGCTCAATAAACATTTGTTGAGTAAATGGAACAGTAACCAAATCCTCGCACACCCAGAGTCATCACTGTCATTTCCCGACACGCACTCCTGCACAGTGTGAACTTTGGTAATAGCCAGCTGCTCACTATTCTTTAAACTAGCCTGCACCTCACAATTCCATGCCTTGGCTCAGGTAGTTCCCATCTGCCTGCCTATCTCCACTTTGTCTGCTTAGCAAACTCATATTCATCTCTAAATTTCAGCTTAGACGCTCTTCCTCCAGAAGTCTTTTCTGATCTGCTCAGGGAGCGCCATCTCTCTCTCTCCCTCCCCTACCCCGACCTTATCTCGGCTCTATAATGATTCATTGAAGGCTCATGCTAAGTCTTATGTATCATAGATTCCAAGCACCTGGCATAGAACTTGACATGGAGCAGGTATCAATAAGCTTGTTGAATGAATAGGCATGTTGACTGATAGAATGACATACACACAGTTCTCAAATAAATCTGCTTTTCCATTCTGGATGATAAATGAATAATTATATGCATATACAATAGCAGAATTCAATTTGAGTCCCCACTCCATTAAAGGTGGTTAAATTACTCCCATTCATTTCTCCCTCATCTGGGGTATCTTCTGACATGAGGCATCCATTTGGGGGCACATAAGCCAGGTTTGGGAGTTCAGTTTGCACATATGGAAGAGGGAAGACAACTGGCTCTCACAGGGTTTGTGCTGTGACCTTGGCTTTGTTGCCTTGGTGTTCAAAACCCAGCAATGCTCATTCTGGAAACACGAGCATGCCCCTGGAATGGTGTAACAGAATCTCTGTGGACATGACATTTTTATGTTCATCAGAAGAGGGCATTGGTTGATAAAAATAGCAAGAGTCACAGTTGTGACCATATGGAGAGCTAGGAAAACAGTAAGAAAGAACACCTGCACGCAGTAACCTGGAGACACATGAATTGTGCAGACCACTGGCCCCGGCATCACTCACGCATGACAGTGGACTAGAGTTCTGGGCGCTCTGAAAAGGACCCCATGTCTGTATCAGCCAGGGTTGCTCAGCTCGTTGGATTAATGATATTAATACAAATAGTTGCAATGAATTCAGAATGACTTTGAATTTAGGTCTCATGGGGAAGGGGTGTTGGTGGTTGCAAATTGGTGTCTTGTTTTTGCTATTCCAAATGTTAGAATTGCTTCTTATAGAATGGCATGAATGCAGGATCATTATGTACAGTTCTGGATAGATTATCCACTGGAAGCAATCATTGTAATAAATTCAGAATTTTTATCACCCTCCCCCAAACAAAAGGGTGTCTGCGTGGGGTTGTGGCATCCTGGGTGAAAAGAGTAGGGAAGAGAATTTCTAGACACCTGATTTTCTCAGAGGGAGATTAAGCTAGGAAATGAACTAATAAATGCAAGATGTTTGGGGTGTGGCTGGCAAACCACTGTTGTTGTGTAAGTTCTGTATAACTTTACACTGCCCTTTATTTATTTGGAAAAGCACAACTATAGCAACATCCTTCAGAAATGCTTTTCTTTTTTTCTTTTTTGGTTCAACGCTTGACTATTCTGGTTCTTTGCTTCGGGACAAATTTCTGGACCAGGAGGTTGTATAACTGGGTGCCTGACCGAGACTTTGCAGCCCTCCCAGGCTCACGGGTGCCCTCCCCTCCTCCCCGCCTTCAGAAACCCAATCACAACCACACTTTGACTAACCCGGAGTGGCGCTGCCCCAGTCTGGTCAGATCCGAAGGGACTGGTCCCATGGTTGCTGGAATAATCTTGTCTCCTTTCTGATACCAGAACGTCTCCTTATTCTGTCCTCTGCTGAACATCTGAAGGTCCATGGTGTGGGCTGGGACAGCAACAATTCAGAGAATCCAGAGAATTCTCCCCCACTGCTGAGCAGGCCACACACCCGGGCGTCAACACTCAACAATGAGCCTGCTCTGGCATGTTGGTGCCAGAAAGGTTTCTGGCTGGAGGAAATGTGTCACCCAGTGGACCTCAAATGCATACAGTTTGTAAGGAATAGATTGGTCTCGATGGATATTATTCTAATTTGACATCAGCTGGCACTCACTGAGCACCGGCTCTTACCAGACACTCCGTTAAGTGCTTTACACGCGTTATCATACTGATTTTCGCAAGCACCCTATGAGGTGGAAGTTACTGTTGTCATTACAGTGTGGAAGAAACTGAGGCTTAGAAGGATGGATAAGGAATTCATCTAAGGTTGTGTTTTGTGAATGACAGACCGGAATTCAAAATTCAAGTACACAAGTCTGACTCCAAAAAACTTGGAAATAAGAAGAAGAGAAAAAGATACTATAAACCATTTTAAAGCACAAAGTGCTTTTTAAAATTGATGTAATGATGGTTACTACTTTAGGCAAAACAAGGGGTGTAGTGGGTTGAGTGGAGGCCCCCAAAAGATTTATCCATGTCCTAACGCCTGGTATATGGGGATGCGCTCTTATTTGTAAAAAGGGTCTTTGCCGATGTAATTAAATGAAAGCTCTCAAGATGAGATTATTCTGGATTATCTGGGTGGGCCCTAAACCCAATGATATGTGTACTTGTGAGAGACACCTAGAGAAGAGATGCAGAGGAAAGAAGACCCCATGAAGATGGAGGCAGAGATTAAAGTGATGCAGCCACAAGCCAAAGAACCTGGATGAAGAAGCAAGAAAAGGTCCTCCCTGAACCTTCAGAGGGAGCACCGCTCTGCCAACACTTTGATTTTGGACTTCCGGGTTCTAAAACTGTGAGAGCATACATTTCTGTCGTTCTAAGCCACTTGGTTAGTGGTAATTTATTAGAGAAGCCACAGGAAACTGACACTGGGGCCGTCTCACCTTATGAACCCTGATTCCCAACTCTGACCTTCATTACCCGTGACCTTGGCTTGTCACTTCCCTGGGTCTCACTTTCCTTATGTGGAAAACAACTGTAAGTGAGACCCTTCAAATCCTTCATGATCTGTGAATCGAGGATCTAGGAGCTTTGCTCTCATTTTCCCCGCCAGTGGCCATTGGGTGGGAGCGGTAATTATGTGGTGACCTTTATCTCAGCAGAAACGTTTGAAGACGAATAATTAAAGCTCCTTCTTTAGAAATATGACTAATACATCATCTGTATTTTTAAGAGATTCCTTCTGTACTGAGCTTAAACCAAGGACCCCTGACCTTTAATTCCCAGGCACAAATTTTAAGGGAAAATAATGAAAAATGCTAGAGAATATGGGGGTAGCAACTGCGCTATAGTGCTAAGAGTGTCCTAATGGAATAAAAATCTTACTGAATGTGCTACAATTTGGAGAGGGCTCAGTCTTCTCTTTTCCCTGCTATGACTGTTGCCCCATGTTGTTGTCGTTGTTTTTATCAGGCAGCCTTATCAGGCCTCATTCCTCAGCCGCGACAGTCCTTGTCTGATAGTAAAAGTTCAGCAATTGTGGGTCTAGAAAATGTAGGTGTTCTATTTTAAGAATCACATTGCAAGAAATATAGTGCAATTTGGAATGCCTACTTATAACTATGGGCTGATTACACAGGAAGAAGAAATTAAGAATCAGTAACAATCTTTAAAAAAAAATCCCTTTTTAAAATAATCAACAGAAAAATGACAACTTGACTGCAAATTATGGAACTGCAGTCTCTTGGTTAACTCTGGGGTATGTTTTTCCATTATGAGTCTCATAAGATTGTTGGGAACTTTCCTTTTCATGTTTGACTATAGCTTCCGGTTCAACTTTCGACCAAAATGTTCCATTTGCTGGAAATCCAACTGAGAAGGATGGGGAGCCTCTAGAAGGATGGGGAACCTCTGCCTCACTGCCCAGGGCCTGGTACCTAGTGGCCACTTCATCCATGTGGAGCGAACAAATGGAAGACTCAGCCCTGGCCTATTGTTTTTTTCTGGCTATCATATCACCTCAAAAGCCTTATTAGATGGGAGGACACATCAGTTTGAACGCAGAACAGAGACAGTCTTTGGAGTCTCATCAGTGTGGAAAATACCCCATGCTGTGACTCCTTACTCAATCAGTAACAGTTATCAAACACACACGTGTTTAGAGCACCAGGGTGGCTGCTGGTAACCGCCTAGAACTCTCACTGTCTTTCTAGGCTGCTGCCTTTTCTAGACAGCAGTCTAGAACTTAACCGCTCCACCACTGGGCCAGCCCCGGTGTCAGAATATTTTAGAAAGAATAAGTCTAGGACTTGCATATAAGAAGGACGTAATGAATAAATAAATGAATAAATGGTTTTTTCAAAAAAATAATAATAGCTAATACTTACTTATACTATTTAATCATATCAAAAGCCTTATTAGATGGGTACTATTTGTACCTCCACTTCACGGATGAAGACTTTGAGGTTTTGAATTGCTAAAGAACTTGCCCAAGGTCACACTGCCAGAGAGAAGTAGAGATGGAACTCAGACCAGGGAGTTTGAGTTCAATGGCTCTCAACACCACGTTATGCTGCCTAAGATGGCTTTGGGGGACGTTTTCCTGGCATTCACTGTTTTTGTCTGGTTTCTTCCTGGAGATAGAATTTCAAACACCTTGTCTTTTGGTTTTCTTATTAATGTTGCCCCACTTGCTAATTTGGATATATTTATCTTTTTTCTTATTTTTTTTTGAGCACTGGAAGGTTAGTCTTTATTCTCATGGATGTAGTATTTACGTTTCCCTTCTCCGCTTTAGGGCTGACCAGAAAATTAGGTGAGACAGACAATGCTCTGTGAATATAGATTTTAAAGGGTGCCAGGCAGGTCTCCCTACCTACAAATCTCTCCCACTTGCTTCCTGAGGTTTAAAATCCCACCAACACAGCTTCATTGCTTGGCTTTAAGTCATGTCCTCTGTCAAAATGCAAATACGTTGGGGAGAGATAAGTAACACTGTGCGCCAGCCTGCCTGCCTGCCTGCTTTCGTCCTTCCATCCTTTCCTTCAATAGACATTTGTGGAGATAGATAGACTCTAGCTGGGTACTGGGTGCCAGAGGTGTAAAGATAAACAAGTGGTCTCTGCCCTCGGGAAGGTCTTGATTCTGGAAGCAGATAAATGTAAAACAATGCAATATACGGTGTTCTAGATGCTGTGATGGAGGCAGCTGTAAGGTGTAGGGAAACCCAAAAGGGAGGAATACACTGCTGTACTTGGAAAGATAATATTCCTTAAGCTTATAGTCCCTCACACTTTAGCAAGAATGAATCGTGAAGATTCTTTTCCAGAAGGTATGTTTTGGTGATAGGAGAAGAAGTTTTGGAGTGAGCGTGAGTTCACTGAAATATTATAGAGGGAATGACAGTGGGAAAAAAAAGTTCACAAAGAAAAACTTGGAATCAGTCATAACACTGAGCTGATTTCAGAACTGAGAGTAGATTGGGCCCTTCTCATTTACATGAGTCTGCCCACTTGTCATGCCATGTGTTAAAATACTATGATAAAGGAAGAATCAGTATTTTCGAAAAAAGGTTTTAGAGCTATTCCACAAGGCAAAAAGATTGTTGCTATTGACTGACAGCCATGGAAGCAAGCATTTCTTAATTGAACATACCAGTGTTCAGGAAACTTTTCCTATAAAGGACCAGATAAACATTTTAGGATTTGTGGACCATGTGGTCTCTGTAGTGACGACTCAGCTTTGCCGTTGCAGTGTCAAAGCAGTCGTGTACACTATTGAAATGAATGAGTGTGACCGTGTTCCAATAAAACTTTATTTACAAAAAGAGGTGGTGGGCCGACTCTGGGCCAGAGGCCATAGTTTGCCAGCTTCTGGTTTATGTCATTTCACAGGCATATTAAAGGCCTAAGTTAAATAAGTTTAAGTAAGTTTTAAATAAGTAAAGTTTAAATAAGTTTTTGAGGTGAGGCCCCCTAGCTCCTGAATGGACAGCAGGGTCACTTGTAAAGCCCTTTTCCTGACAGCATGTGACTCCACAGCCTGGAAGTAGCCACCTGAAAGAAGCAGCCCTTTGAACCAGGGCTGCTGTGGACAAGACTGCAGGGACCTGAAGAAGGGAGGGAGGGGGCAAAAGAAGGCAGACAGAAGGGCTTTGTGCTGTAGACGGTTAGGTTAGCTGTTCACCAAAGATTCATGCTGAAGGTGAACTTTTCGTATAAAGAAGTGTAGATTGAGTGGTCCACAGCTGATAAAAAAATTCCTTCCTTTTTTTTTTTTAATTGAGGTAACATTGGTTTATAACATGATATAAATTTCAGGTGTAGATCATTAAATTTCAATTTCTGGGGAGATTACATCATGTCCGCCACTCAAAGACTAATTAAAATCCATCACCACACACATGTGCCGAATCACCCCTTTTGCCCTCCTGCCTCCCCTCTTCCCCTCTGGTAACTACCAATCCAATCTCTGTCTCTATGTTTGTTTGTCATTGTTTTTATCTTCTACTTATGAGTGAGATCATATGGTATTTGACTTTCTCCCTCTGACTTATTTCTCTTAGCATAATGCCCTCAAGGTCCATCCATGTTGTCACAAAGAACAAAGCTGGAGGTATCACACTCTCTGATTTAAAAATATACTACAAAGCCATAGTAACCAAAACAGCATGGTACTGGCACAAAAATAGACACATTTTTCTCAGGATTCCTGTGTCTATTTGGGGTCTTTTGTTGTTCCACATAACTTTTAGGATTCTTTGTTCTATTCCTTTGAAAGTTGTCCTTGGAACTTTGATAGGGATTGCATTGAATCTATAGATTGCTTAAGGAGGTATGGACATTTTAACTATGTTAATTCTTCCAATCCAAGAGCACGGAATATCTTTCTATTTCTTTGTATCTTCAACTTCTTTCAACATTTTATAGTTTTCAGTGTAGAGATCTTTCACCTCTTTGGGTAAGTTTATTCCTAGGTATTTTATTCTTTTTGTTGCAATTGTAAATGGGATTGTATTCTTAATTTCTCTTTCTGCTACTTCATTTTAGTGTATAGAAACACAACTGATTTTTGTATGTAGATTTTGAATCCTGCAACTTGACCATATTCGTTTGTTATTTCTGAAAGGTTTTTAGTGGATTCTTTAGGGTTTTCTGTAAATAAAATCATGTCATCTACAAATAGTGACAGTTTCACTTCTTCTTTTGCAATTTGGATCCATTTTATTTCTTTTCCTTGCCTGATTGCTCTGGCTAGGACTTCCAATACTATGTTAAATAAGAGTGATGACAGTGGGCATCCTTGTCTGGTTCCTGTTCTTAGAGGGATAGCTTTCAATTTTTCTCCAGTGAGAATGATATTAGCTGTGGGTTTGTCATATATGGTCTTTATTATGTTGAGGTGCTTTCCTTCTATATCCGTTTTATTCAGAGTTTTCATCATAAATGGATGCTGTATCAAATGCTTTCTCTGCATCTATTGAGATGATCATGTGATTTTTATTCTTCATTTTGTTAATGTGGTGTTTTGCGTTGATGGATTTGTGGATGTTGAACCATCCTTGTGTCCCTGGAATAAATCCCAGTTGATCATGGTGTATGATCTTTTTAATGTATTGTTGTATTCAATTAGCTAGTATTTTTTTGAGGATTTTTGCATTGATGCTCATTAGTAATACTGGCCTGTAGTTTTCTTTTTCTGTGTTGTCCTTGTCTGGTTTTGGTATCAGGGTAATGTAGGCCTCATAGGATGAGTTGGGAATCTTCCCCTCCTCTTCAATTTTTTGGAAGAGTGTGAGAAAGATAGGTATTAAGACTTCTTTGAATGTTTGGTAGAATTCACCAGGGAAGCCCACAGAGCTTTTTAAGGCCTCAAGTCCTTTGACAAAGTTGTTCCTTTGAATTTACCAAGACTATTTCTGTTATCGCCTCACAACGATTCTGCATGTCAATAAAAACTACCTGCATGTCATCTTTTGCAAATTTCTTGATGTGTCCCGTCACTTGGCCTTTATGTCTGCTAACTGGATCTTAAAATCAAGGTGGACACAGACTTCACCTGCTCTGGGAGCATTCCTTGATTAAAGACTTACGGATCTCCGTCTCCATCTCTGATGTCTTCTCTAATCAAGTATCCAATCAAAGTCTCCACTCAGATGTTCCATAGGTCTTCAAACTCAACATATCCAAACTTGAAGTCAAGATCTACACCCTATCCACCTGTATGCCCCCTCTCCCCCTAAGGTTACTTCAGCTCAGTGAATGGGACCATTAGTCACCCAGTGGTGCAAACCAGAAGCTGGGAGGTCATTCTCGACAACTTCCTTTCCATCACCCCTTAGGGTCTACCATTCACAAAGTCTAAGGGATTGTTTCTCCTAATATCTTTTGAACTGAGATGCTTCTTTCTAACTCCATTGCCTTCATCAGAGCCTAACCTACCAAGTTCTCCTACCAGAACATTCTAATTGTTCTGCTGGAGTCCATCCTCATCTAAATCTCATGTCTACCTTTTATCCATCTGATCATATCAGTCCATTCAATGGTTTCACACTGCTCATAGGGTAAGGAACAAAATCCTTACACATCCTATTAAACTCTGCATGGCTAATCAACATCATCATCTTTCTCTGACACTACTCTCTTTTTCACTGTCTCTGACAACATTTGAACTAGGTATCATTGTAGAGCTTTATTCTGCTTTGCAACTGTGGAGGATTTGCATTAGTAGCCTCATATTTCACCAACCCTTGTATGCCCACCCTTTGCCATATATCTTCAGTGTTCTCTCACTGTTGGTGACATATAATTTCCTGCCCCTGAGTTTAGCCATGTGACTTGCTTTGGCCAATAGAATCAGGCAAGATACAGAGACCAGGCTGCAATAGGCCTGCGTGCTTCCACCTGTCCTCTGGAACCTCTCCCTCCACCATAAGAAGAACATGACTTTGGTCCCATGAAAAGGATGAGGGGTATGTGGGGTGGAGCTGAGCCTGGCCTAGATCAACTGCCCCTCAGTGGACACGTAGATTTATAAGAAACAATAATGAGTTGTTGCTTTAAGCCACTGAGGTATAGGGTGGTTTGTCACGTAGCAATAGCTAACTGATACACTAACAAAATAGTTTCCATTTTCCTGTGATTTTGTAAATATCCTCTATCTTTGTTCATACATTTAAGACAACTAGGGTTAAAGTCAACAAAGACTGTGTAGATGGATCTCATCCCTTCCTGCTATGAACAGTAAACTCTTGCTTGGGGATTGAGGTCCAGTAATAAAATGATGGCTAATTCCCTGAGGATTCCTCTGTGACTTTCCAAATGAAACGAAGGTTTTCCCACCAATCCCATAAATTGGGTGGGTGAAATTGGGCATGGATCTTTCCCTTGCTGCCACAGAAGCTCTTCATCCCTGAGAGGGGTGGCAGATCCATTGCCACAACCTGGGGACCATGCTGAAAGTTCAGAGCTGGTTTCTGAAGCGACACAATCCACCTGTATTCTAGATAAAGGCACAGTCTGTCACAATAGGCATTTTAAAGGTCATCCCAGACCTAAACGCACATCTTATTCCTTTCGTTCTTGTCCTCTGCATTTCTCTTTGAAAAGCTGTTGCATGTTTCTGGCTTTTCCATTTTCTCTACCTGACAAAACCTGTTGCTAAGTGGATGTTAATTAAGCCACAGGCCAAATCACTGACAATTCAAAATGAAAACCATGACCACACGTGGCTGTCCTACCCTGCCCCCAAAAGCCACAGCAACATGCTGTGCTCTTAAGGAGACTCTTGAAATTAAGATTATTTCACCCACAAATGTCAAGAGTGTCTTCGGGGCTGTAAAACAAAGTGCCTGACTAACACACCATCAGCTTGGCTATGTCAGGACAGAAATAAAGATGTAAGAGTAAACAGTCAACAGACTTCATAGCCCTGGAGAAAATAAAGACATACACACCTGGATCGAGGCAGTTCTTCTCCCTGAAATAAATGAAAAAAATATATCTTTTAGTTTTGCTCAAACCCACCCAAAATTCCAAATTCCTCTCTTGAAAGGAGAGGCAATTAACTTTCCTGGCTAAAATGTTTTGGGTTTTTCTTTTGGAGGGGGAAGGGGAGAAGACTAGAAATTTGAATAATTCTCTCTTTCTCCTCTTTTAAACCACCCATGCCAGGTTGTCTTCTAATCGTGTGTATTTGCAAAACGGCCACCACCATTACCATCTGATGTCTGATGGACCATCTGCAGCCTGACATTGGTGGGTCCCCCCTTAAAATGCCTTCAAGGATATCGAAGATGAAAGTGAGCCTCCATTCTCTTTCTTCCCCAAACTGGTGTACCCCCTTTACTTGAGAGCTAATGTGTCCTAAAGAGTGTGTGTCCCCTCAGCAGTGACTTCCTGTGCTGTCTCCCATCACAGCACTCCCAGGCCTTTGGGGTAATGTGGTGACCCAGAGATCTGTTTTGCTTTTTGGTCCACTGAGTGAGAGGCAGGAAGCTTAGAGCTGTGTTACCTGAGGACTAGGAGCCTGTGGGGCGGGGCTGGGTGGTGAGTGGCCTCCTCTCCTTGGAAGAGAGGCCTGAGGAAGCGACCCCTCCTCGACGAGTGGAAGCACAGGAAGGGCATCCTCATCAGTGGGCTGCATTTGGGGGTCCAATGGGTCAGCTGCACTGAGGGCCCTTTCAGGGTCTGTGGGTGACCCTGAGTGGAGTCTCAGGGGCGATAGAGAGTGTGAAGAATCCTTCGGGCTTCCAGGTAGACTCTTGGAAAGGTAACACGGGGAGCCTGCAAGCTCCTTCCAACTTCCCCAGGTGGGCACTTCCACGGTCTCTTGCTGAGGCAGCAAACGTGAAGTCCCATAGCCACTGCCCCTTAATCTCCTCAAAGTGGGAGAGGTAGAAATGCGGCCTGGGGCTTGCCGGTCAAAGTGGAGAAGATTCCCCTGGTTCTCACAGTGCTTCTTTGACAGGCTCTTCAGCAGGGGCTGAGCAGAGGCCCCAAAGCCCCTGGGCTGCAGCTCTCGGCAGGATGACTCTGTCTTCCCCATGCAGCTAAGAGGTGCTGTCGCTAGAAGCTTCCAGGGGACACTGTCGGACTTGCTGTTCTCTGGACCACACTGGGGTTGTTCAGTTTCTGCATTCAAGTGTGACTCTTCCTCTGGCATGTTTTCGTCCTTTTCCAGAGGATAATTGGAAGCAGTTCGTTGCATCTTCAGTGAGGAAGAGCAGAGTGTGGAATCTGTTGCAAATGAAGGAGACTGAGGTGAGAAGAAAAGGTGTCTGAAAACTTCTGATTTGTCTGAGGAGGTGGCTCCCAGTTAACGTTAACATCCTTTACATTCTGAAGGTAATTAACACGAGTGATTCCAGCCATTCCATCTATGTGATTTGTATGGTGAAATTTGTTTACTGTTTACTTAATATTCCTTCTAGGTTCACAAAAAAAAAGCTTACAAAAATCTTGGTGACCTCAGAGACTTCTTGGAAGCCACAAAGCTCATCACCTTTTGATTATTCCGTTTTAAGAGAATCAATACACATGAAATTTGCCTTACATCTGCATTTATTTATTTTAGTACTTTAGTGTATGTATTCCAGTAATGTGATTACATAAGAACAAGGTAAACAAGACCCCTGGCCCCAAGGTTTAAATTATAGAATGTCACATGGTTTCAAAGATATTGGTGTAAAGTATTTAGCAGAAGACATTGTAGATTTTATCCATCCCCATGTCTTGGAAAAGTAACTTGCAAGTTTGAAAAGAAAAACCTAGATGCCACCCAGATGCCCTACTTCTCATGACTAGAGGTATTTTCTAGAATTCACTAACACAGAATTATCTCCTAGGTAAGCTCTTCTAGCTCAAGCCAAGCTGATTCTACCATTTGACAGCTCGATCCATGGTGACATGGAAATGACTTATTGCAGTCCATTATTTTGTAGTTTCCCACGTGAGGAAATTAGTTGTATATGGGAAAGCGTCGATCCTTATCCGTCCTGTCAACTGTAGTCAACTCTGGATTATTTACAGACCTGATATGGGACCGGGCAGAGGGTAACATAACCACCTCCTCTTGCCATGGGCAATGTGGGAAGGTGGTTTCAGATGGTGCATGGCTTGTTTGTGGATGGAACACCAGTAGTTGACCATATATTCTGAGATCTCCAAGAATAATTCTAGCAAGTCAATAAGTCTAAAGCAAAACTCAGCAATCTAGAACCCTTAGGGAATGAATGCATTTGGGTAGACAAATTTTAAGGACGTCTAATAATTTCCTTTTTTAGTGCTATGCAAGGTTAATTCCACTGAAAGCACTTTTTAGTAGAACTTTTCCTACAGTGTATTATTTACTTCCTCAACTTTATAACAGAGAACTCTGAACTCCAATAAATCTTTTCCTGATGACCTGGCCTCCTTATGTTGAGTATCAATCATAGTACTAGCTGAAATACAATGACTATTACTGTGTTTACTGCCATTCTCTGGAGAATACATTAATTGTTACAGGTTTTTATAGCATATGGTTACCCCACACTAAGTGGCCCACACTGATGTACTCCCTAATTTTATTCACTCCTTCTCATTGCAGTTTGTGTACTTGCCTACGCAGACACTCTCTCCCCTTTGATTTATTTATCCTAATCTGTTCCAGGCACAGAGTCCAACAACCCTGGGGCAAGAGAATTAATAGGCTCTTAGATCTATTCTTATCAGTCAAAGGGAGGAACCCAATGTTGTGACATTGTCATGACAATGCTGTGACATTGATTTTGGGGGCTCCATGTTCTCCTATGTTTACTCTTCGGCTCTCCTCCGGTTTAAGGCCAAATGAAACTAACAGGTAATGGATTTTAGACTGGAGAGTCGTAGGAGAGCTACTCAGATACCAACTGAAGTCAATTCAACTCTTATCTACAAAAGAAACCTGCAGTTCTTAATGCTGGGTTTGCCTTCGTACCTCGAGCTGAGGACTCAAGTGTTACAGAGCTTCATGTAGAACAAAAACGCGTGCTGAGGCGGGGGCAATACCAGCCAGGAAACTTACATTTCAGTTAAGGTTGGGGGGAACTGGTTTTGTTTTTAGGTTGGTAATTTCTGGCTGCTGCTTCAAAGGCTATACCAGCGTGGCTGGAGGAGACTGAAAAGGCCCGTCCTGACCATGCATGATGTATTAGGTCTCTTTCCACGTCCCGAATGGGAGGGGCCAGTTCCTCATTCTCCCGACAAACAAGTGCCGAGCTGAGAACTGGAGTTACAGGTGCTTTCACACATGTACACACCCAGGGGGTTCTATTATTTTCTCTTTATAGCGTTGTCCGAGATCTACACAGGCACAGCCGTTACAGGAATTCAGTGTGTTTACACAGGCACTCACATAATAGTTCTATCAGAATTCTCAGTCCTTGGGCTTCCTCTCTGTCCTTGTGCCTTCCTTCTCCTCCTTGGAGCGTTAGGACTGGATTTCCTTTCCTGTCATCCTGACACAGGGGTGTGGTGGCCGGTAAGAGGTTATGACATCCCATAGGACTTAAGGGCCCGTAAGTATTATTTATTGGCCGGTGTCTTAACTATTGGAACGAAGAGAATAGGAACTGCTGAGGTGACTCACTGCAGAAATGGAGAGACTTTCAATACTGCCCGGCTGTGGGAGGCGGTTTGCAGAGAGGGCTCCAGAGTAAATGACCTGGTTTCTCTCGCCACCTCACCTGCGACCTAGGACAGGCCATACCTCCCCTGTCAGCCTCCAGGCTGCATTTATGAAAGTGTCTCCATTACTGGCTCATAGCAGGGATTAAATGAGATGGTGGCTGAGGCTCCTGGGGGGCCTCCCTAAAGGATTACCCGCGCAGATCCGGTAAAGAGTCAAAAGTTAACAGAAGAGTTCAGGCTAACTCTTTTCCTTTACGTTCTCTAAAAGACTAAATCAATAAATGATCATTATAAAGAACATTCATCATGCTTTGGCTTGACCTCCCAAGCTTTAAGAATCCAGCAAACATCCCCGCCACCCCTCCCCCGCCATGTTGGGGAAGCAATCTCAGTGTACTAGAAATTAAACCACATAGATTAATAATTTACCCATTCTACTTAGATCTGGAGAAACCAGCAAGCCAGGACCAGAAGAAGCTGGTCGCAACAGGATCTGAACAAACAGAATACAAGAGGGAAACCCAGAGAGCAGCTGAATGTCGCCTCTAGTACCTGTGGGGTGGTCTGCCTCTGAAGGTGACATTGTCCAGGTGGGTCCTGACAAGGGAGTCAGCAGCACCACAGAGCAGACTGCCAGGCGAGGGCTCGGAGGAGCAGGTTCCACATCTGTAACAATGGACCCTCCCTGGCCGAGTGCAGGCAAACCTGATGCAAGCTGAAAGAGGAACTGGCCTCTCCCTCCTTAGAGACTTTTCTAGTTATTTGTTTATGAAAAAGCCTAAAGGGAAGCCAGCTCAGAATCTAAGACCGCCTAAAAACATATCAGGTGATTTGTTTCTACTGAACAACGGCTGAGCCAACACAAAAATGATGCAAATGTGGCTTTCTCTTTCCCCTTCAGGTGTTCCGTCCTCCTCCTCGATATCTCAGCAAGGCAGTTCTAAGTTTCTGTTCTGTTTATTTTCTCTAAAGGGAGAATCATTCCTTCCGACCTTATTTGGTTCACATCTTAAACCAGTTTGTGTAGATCTATTTAATGAGTAGAACGTTTTGATAAGCATTGAATAAGAAAGGGATGATCATTGTACTTGGGAACAAACTTGTGAGCATTCATTTTCAAATAATTAAAAGGCAAATGGAAAGGCACTTGTATCTGCCGGCGTGCTCATGACAGCAGGGCCCTAAAGAAACTTTATTTGGTGTCTAGGTGCAGACATTGCATACATTCCCAAGAATGGACGGAGAGGTAAAAAAATATTTCCATAGACTCTTTAGAAAAACAAATTCAAGTGAATTCTAATGAAGTCTGATTTACTGACGTTTTCATTGCTTAGAGTCATTACAGATACTTGTTGTAAAGGTTTCTTTCGGTCAGTGGTTCTGAAGGTGGGGGCCTTGGACCAGCAGCATCAGCGTCACTTGGGAACGTGTTTGAAAGGCAAATTCTTGCACCCTTTCCACCTCCTGGGTCAGAAACTCTAGGGCTGGGGCTGGAAGTCTGTGTTTTAACAAGCTCTCCAAAGAGATTCTTACACTTGCTAAAATTTGGGGACTGCTGCCTTAGGAAAAGAAAGGTCTGCTTTATAGATCTCGGCCTGTGATCATTTTTGTGTTAGTCTTTAATTCTCTCTGACGGGTCTTATTAGAATATCATTTACTTAGAACTTTGAAAAATGACTTGACCTCCCCCTTTACCACTGTCACCACTGTCACTGCCATCAAGCCAAAAACACATTATCTAGGGCATTTCTCTAGTTTGCCAGGAAGCAACCAGCATAAAATAGTCTGAGGTCCTGCCAAGGCTGTTTAGAAAGGAATTGTTTCACTTGAGGAAGAAAGGAAAGTGGATAAAGTATTTTCTCTTTTGGTTTGTGGAATGAAGGTCTTGCTTTCTCTATTTGTCCCCTCACACATGCATGATTGTACAACTCTCTCTCCTGGGGGAATATGATAATGGGATATTTGATCCCAGTGCAAAAATTTCCAACCTCTGCTTCTAACTTAAATAAGAAAATTTAAGAGTCTACAAAAAAGTCACAAAGGATTATCAGGAAAAGCGTAGTGTACCCTCCACCTGATTTGTCAAGGAGAAGGGGGACAGGGAGGCATTTTGGATGGGAAGGGACACCCCGGAGGGAAGACAATCCCCGGGGTCAGCTTCTCCTTCAAGACCCTGGGTCAACCATGTGGAAGGCCAAGGTGGCCCTTTACCTCTCAGTGTGGCCCACGAGGTTGTCCCCAGTGCCACAGAGAGGCAGCTCTCCTCATCTTTTTTGCCTCCTGCCTGGGTTACTCAATCAGGGTAAGTTTTGTTTGGGGAGAAAGTGACGTGAGATGTGAGCCACGCAAAGTCTAAAGCCTCACAAGTGGTTCTGTATCGTGAATATCCAGATCTGAGGCTTCAAGCCTGGAGTTCTGATTGACCCTAAAGTTTTTTCAAAAAATATTAATCCAACATTAAAAATTAGGGGATTTTATGGAAAAATTTGGATTGCAAGCTTTTGTTTTTTGAGGAAGATCAGCCCTGAGCTAACTACTGCCAATCCTTCTCTTTTTGCTGAGGAAGACTGGCCCTGAGCTAACATCCATGCCCATCTTCCTCTACATTATATGTGGGACGCCTACCACAGCATGGCTTTTGCCAAACGGTGCCATGTCTGCATCTGGGATCCGAACCGGCGGACCCAGGGCCGAGAAGCGGAATGTGCAAATTTAACTGCTGCACTACTGGGCTGGCCCAGCGTTTTTTTTAATTGGCCAAAATGGCAACACTATGTTCGTATTCCCACACTCCCATATATGTATGAAAGGAGTGGGTCTGAGGACAGGCTCCCTGCTTCAGGTAGGACAAGCCGTGTCCAGTTCACCACAGTCTCTGCCACTCCCTACAGTCTCCCCGAATCAGGCCAATGTTGGTTCCTATTTATTGTTGTGCTTGGAGAGTTTTATTTCTTTTAACCGCACTACCACAATGGCCCCAACCTGGAAAGGGCCCTGATGCCCATTTCAATAGGATGTCCATCATCAACAGACAAATACATTGATATATTCAACAATGAAAACGAAGGAAGACTTGCTCTAGTCCTGATCATAACGTTCACTGAAAGTAGCCAGATCGTATGATTCCATTTACATGAACAAGAATGGGCAGAGCTGCTCTGCTATGTTAGAGGTTAGGATGGTGGTTTTCATCTCTGGAGAGGCAGTGATGACTAACCAAGGGTGTGGCTTCTGGGATGCTCGTATGTTTAGTTTCCTGATCTGAGTGCCGGCCCCTGGCTGTGTTGTCCTCGTGGAGATTCATTCTCTGGTACACTTACACTATGTACACTTTTCTGCTCACGAAAGTGTACTGAAAAAAGTGTGTCTGTCATGACAGATAATATCCTGGTTTGCTTACTTGTTTACATGACTTGATGGCCAGTATAGGTCTTTGAATTGGCAAATTCCTAAAAAAATTTTTTTTCCTAGTTTTTGAAAAGAGGTATGATTTTATTTGAGCTTCTCTTTGGGCTTTAGGTTACAAAAATCCAGTGGAACCATGTTTAAATTGATTAATCTCAATGCTTCTAGATACAGCTCAACATCTCTGAGTTATTTATACAGGAAACTTTTCTAGGCAGTACATATTCTGAGCAATTTCATCTCTGAAATGTCTTTATTTTGCTATCACACATGAAAACTAGATATGTAATTCTTGCACTGCACTATTTTCTTCTGAAGGTCTGTAGATGTTTTTTACATGATTTTCAGTCAGTAATTGTTGAAATAGTGGCCAATTGGAATATTTGCTTTTTGGTGGGTCTCTACTTATTCTTTTAAACTTCTTTGTGATGGTGCATAATATTTTTGAACTGTTCAATTCATTTCTATATTCTTTCTTTTAAAAAAGTTGATCCTTTATATTTGAAGCTAGAAATGTTTAACCAGAATATGTCAAAGCGGGTTCAGTTTTGCCTGAGGTCTGATGTGAAGTCTCAATTATTTAAAATACTTTTCCCAAATAAGGAATATTTTCTGTATTATTTGACAATTCTCTCTCTTTCTTTGCTTCTCTTTCTTTAGGGGAGATCTGCTATTATCTCTTGCTTCTGATATTTCATCTTCTCTCCGTATTATTTTCATTACTCTTACCTTCTCCCCTGCAGTCAGGAATAATTTCTTGACATCACATACAATTTCGCTTGTTCCATTTTCTGCAGAGACCAAATTGCTTTTAACTGCTTCTATAATGACTTTAACATCAATTTTATTTTTTAGATAAATAGGACTATTCCAGTGTAATTTTTTTTTTACAGAATGATTCCTTTTTCATGGTAACAGACTCTGTGCTCTTAAATCTTGGAGACATGTGAAGTACTTAGTGTGTTATGAACTGAGGCATATGATAAACTCAAGTGTATACTTGTGGCTTGAAAATTAAAGTCAAAGAATCATGAGTCAGATAATTTCCAATTTTTCTACTTCTTGCAATAACTCTATTTCAAATAAGGTAGCTCTTCTGAGCCATCTTAGACATTTTTTACTCTATTCTTTTGACCTGTAGAGTAGTTTACTGTGCTATCTGCTATTCCTATAGAGGGATATATTGACTTGCTTGGGATCGATTTATAGCCAAGACAGAGTTGGACTGGTTTCTGATAGTGTGTGGGTTTATGACAAAACATCTCAAAATAAAACTTGTTTTGAAGGAAGAAATGAGAAAAATACAATTAAATCATCAGATTGCTTACTCAGTGATTTGGAAGACTAAGAGGCCTGGAGAAGGATCTAGAGCCACAACTGCAGTCACCACCAGCACTTGAGCTTTGTGCCATTGCACAAATGCAGGACAGAACGGCTCCCTGTCATGTGCAATCCTCTGCTTGCTGAGACTTCTTTCAAGGAGCAAAGTCTAAGGCCTTCCCACATGGCTGCAGCTGGAGCCTTACGTGCTATTTATTGGCTGAGGTGAGAATGTTCTAAGACTGGGGTTCCTGATGGGTTCCCAATGCCCTCCCGCTCTCTGAGTCTCAGGATGGTGTCAACCCCACCTCTTTGAGTTGGGGTTTTGGTAGACATTTGTTAGTAGCCTCCTTGTATCCATGACCCACTCCCTTTCCCAAAGAGTTGTGATTTCCATTTAGGTTTTGTGTGTTTCCATCATGCTAGTCCATGCCCAGCTTGGTGGGTGGAACATATGACTTCGGTTGAACCAAATATGCATTTCAATTCCCTGACTGCAAGGATTGGTCTAGAAGATGGGCTTGTGTACTAAGCCAGTCCAATCAATGTGACTTTCAGAAATTTGCTGAGGATACTGGGATTCTCTTTCCTGGTGGAAGTGAAAGAGGAGGCATGCAGTACTGGGAACTGTTGGTAGTCATCTTGAGACCATAGGGGTGGAGAAGCCAGTCTTAGGATATATCTGACACCATCGCAGGGAGAGTGGAGTTAGGAAAAAAAAAAACAACACTGGGCTTTAGTGACATCATTGAGTAGCTGAGTTAGTCCTCACCGGACTCCAGAGAGACATTCCTCTGCATTTACATTTTCTCGAGTCATTACATTTCCTTTATGGTAAACCACTTGAAGCTGTGCCCTCT